GGAGGGAGGGAGGGAGGGAGGGGAGGGAGGGAGGGAGGGAGGGAGGGAGGGATCAGCATGATCGTCTCTTATCTCTCACCTTCAGTCCATTCTCCTTGCAGAACTGCAGCATAAGTCGCACAACGTCCTGCGCGTCCACCTCGAGCTCCGCCATTCCTCGAGTATCCCTGGAGTGATCCCCGCATCCCCCCTCGTGTCACCCCGGAGTTCCGGGCGATGATCCGGGCCAGTCCGACTCCGGGCTCCGGGCCGCCTGCCGGAGTTCGGAGGCCGCTCCGGAGCGCGGCGCGCAAGTGGAATCACTGAGTGCAGTCGGCGCCTTTAATTGAGATCCGTTACTATACAGTTACATTCTCTCAGAGTGCTGGCGGCGGCATGACTTAGTGAATGATCGTGTATATGTCACAGTCCACTGAGTAATGATCGACTCGATCATCCGAGTCGGGCCTCATGATAGTCACGGTTCGGAAGGTTGTAGGCAGTATGCTAGTTTAGTGACAACACATCATAGATACTATCGTCCTCATGAGTCTGATCAACTTGAACTTCCGAATGGCATCAAAAGTTTCCCCACACCAACACAGTGGTGTCATCTGACCCCGACACAAGCATGCTCCCGTCCTCCGACCACACCACACTCGTGATACAGTCAGTGTGTCCTCGGAAGCATCTGATCTCCTTGCCGCTCCTCGCCTCCCATACCCTCACCGTGCAGTCAGACGAGCCTGAAGCAAGAAATCTCCCGTTCTCCGACCAGGCAACGCATGTCACCCGTCCTTTGTGTCCCGTACAGCAGCTCACCCTCCTCCCGCTGCTCATCTCCCACACCCTCGCCGTCATGTCCTCTGACCCTGACGCGAGCATACTTCCGTCTCGCGACCACACCACACAGGTCGCTTGCTCCCCGTGACCCTTGAAGCATTGCACCTGCTCGCTGCTTCTTACCTCCCACACTCTCACTGTCCAATCTTTTGACCCTGCGGCGATGAACCTGCTGTCCTCCGACCATGACACGCTTGTAACAATCACAGAATTCTTTGCAGAATATCTCATCTCCTCACCGCTGCTGATCTCCCATACCCTTGCGGTGCCGTTTGATAACTTGGACGCAAGCATACTACCATCCTTGGACCAAGCGAGGTGTGAGAATCGTCTCTTAACATCTTGAAAGCATCTCAACTCCTTCCCGCTGCTTGTCTCCCACACCCTCACAGAGCCGTCCGATGATCCAGCTGCGATCATCTTTCCATCCCTCGTCCAAGACACGATCGTAAGAACTCCCGTATGTCCCTCGAAGCATCCGATCTCCTTCCCGCTGTCTCCCTCCCATGCTCTCACTTTGCCCTTCGATGACCCTGCAGCTACCATCATCCTACCATCCCCCGTCCATACCACACTTGTTACGCCACTTGTATCTTCTCTTAAATATCCGATCTCCTTCTCACAGCGTATTTCCCATGCTCTCAAAGTACCCTCCGATGATCCTGAGAAAAGGTAGGGTTGCTGCGTCCTACCACCAGTACATAGGCTTATGGTCGCCAGACACATGTCGCCACTATTTTGCTCAGAGCACCAGATCTCCTTCTTGCTCTTTAGCTCCCATGCTCTCACCGTACCCTCCGATGACCCCGCCAAGACAATGTTGTAATACTCCGTATCACTAACATACCAGGTCCATGCTGTCAGGAATGTGATGCCGCCGCTATTTTTCTTGAAGCACGAGATCTCTGCCCCGCTGGTTTGCCACAGCACCCTTACAGTACCCTCCGATGACCCCGAGATGATGCAGCATTGATTCGTCCCATTGAAATTGAATATCCATTTCGTCAGGCATGTGATGCTGCTGCAGTCTTCCTTGAAGCACCAGACCTTCCCGCTGCTTAGCTCCCATGCCCTCACCGTACCCTCCGATGACCCCGAGATGATGTAGTGTGTTTGAGACCCATTCAAATAGTTCGCTGCCATCAGGCATGTGATGCTGCTGCTGTCTTCCTTGAAGCACCAGACCTCCTTCCCGCTGCTTAGCTCCCATGCCCTCACAGTACCCTCCGATGACCCCGAGATGATGTAGTATTGAGGTGTCCCACTGCCCTGATTCGAGTTCGCTGCCGTGAGGCATGTGATGCTGCTGTCTTCCTTGAAGCACCAGACCTGCTTCCCGCTGCTTAGCTCCAGCACCCTCACCGTACCCTCCGATGACCCCGAGGCTATTAAGTGTTGATTCATCCTCTCGAAAGACCTTGACGCTGCCATCAGGCATGTGATGCTGCTGCTGTCTTCCTTGAAGCACCAGACCTCCTTCCCGCTGCTTAGCTCCCATGCCCTCACAGCACCATCTGATGACCCTGACACTGTTTGATCAGTCAAATTGTCATACACTGCCGTGAGACATGTGATGCTGTCGCTCTTCTCCGACGAGCACCAGACTTCACCCCTGTTCAGTAGCTCCCCTGCTCTCACCGTACCCTCCGATGACCCAGAGATGATGTAGTATCTTCCAGACCTGCTCATACGTGCAATCATCAGACATGTGATGCTGCTGCTTTGCTTGACGCGCCAGATCTCTTTCTCGCTGGTCAAGTCCCATGATGTCACAATTCCTTCATTGGACTCTTCTGCTGCAGATGCAAGTGATGTCATTGTGAAGTAGTGTGATCCATGGAACGAGCTGATCTTCTTCCCGCTCTTGATTTCCAATATCCTCGTTGCACTGTCATCTGTCTGTGCCGTGATCAAGGTCGCATCCGGCGAGATTAACACTCTTTTTACTTTACTTGTATCCCCTGAAAAGCATCTCATCTCTCCCCATTTAGCGAACATGATGGCATTGTTCTTATGTGATGCAGCACCATACCCCTTCCGAGTGTCGATGGAATCATTTTGCATATTTTGATTTTTTTGGCTTCCGATCTTGACTTCATGCAAAGTCAGTATATCAACAGCATAACAAGACAGAATACCCTTCATTCCCTTTGCTTCCAACAGCAGATTGCGATCTGCCAACAAACTGATCGATACAGCAGCTGCTGTCGGCCTTTTCGACGCCTCGTTATCGAGGCAGCACAGGATGAGTTGCTTCCACACTTGCTCGCCTTGGAGCTCTTTCGATCCCTCCTCCTGTTTCTCCACGCTAGCCGCCAGCTTCTCGCGCGTCATCACGTACGACATGACAAGGCCGAGCGAGTACACGTCCGACGCCAACGTCGCGCTCCCTCCTCTCTTCTGTTCAGGAGACATCCAGCACACATGTCCCTGCTTCACGGACTCTGACGACGAGGCGACCAGCTGCTTCACTTTCACGAGCTCGAACCCCACGAGCTTCGCGACGTCGTTGGCCTCCACCTTGACGTTCTTAGGCTGCAGGTCCCCGTGAACGATCTCATGCGCGTGCAGGTACGTCAGCCCGTCCGCCAGCCCCTGCATGATCGCGCGACCTCTGGCCTGCTGCTCGTTCGCACCGGCAGGTCTAAGAATCAGCTCGATGAAGCGATCGAGAGGCTGAAGCAGCGCCTCCGTCACCAGCAGGTAGCAAGAGTCTCCGTGCTCGTCCGACAGGATGGCGCCGACCAGGTTACTGACGTTGAGGTGAGACATGCTGAAGAGCAGCATCGCCTCCTTCATGAACGCCTTGCGCGTCGACTCATCGCCATCGATCACTTGAGTGTCATGCGGCTCCTTCACGACCACCTCAGCCCCTTCATACGTCGCCTGGTACACGACCGTGAAGGCTCCTGTGCCGAGAATCCTCTTGGGTTTCCCTCGTCCAGTAGTCTCCACCTCAAGCTTCCAAGGGTCGAGAGCCCACGGTCGCTGCTCTGCCTGGCTGACGTCTGAAGCATCGCACGACACCCAATCTGCGGCTGCTTTCATCTTGCTGTACGTGGGGTTACTTTCTAACTCCCCAACATGCCCAGCAAGAGCACAGCTGAGGTTATACACAGCTGAGAACACTTCCGACCTCTTGCCTGCCAGCTCAGCCTCGAGCTTGCGTGCGCTGCCCATGAGACGATCACGAGGAGAAGGGTCGAGAGATCGGCCCTCGCCTTTCTTCCTTATGAAGTGACGTATGGAGGACAGGAGGCAGCAGAGATGGTTGAGAGCCGAGTCAAGGAGAGACTTTCGCTCCTCGTCGAGTTGCTGATGGTCTCGATCAAGTACAAGGTCGACCATCTCCTTCACCTCCGTCGCGAGTTCTCGAAGCTCCTTCTGATTGTTGGGCACAGCATGCGCCTCCTGCCACAAGTTGACGAGGTTCGATCGAATCAAAATAACAACGATATCCGACATGCCGAACGATCTGTGAGGAGACATAAGATCAAGTGAGAGTCTTAGGTGAAATGAAAGATTTTTTCTAGTTCACTAGTAAAATCTTCCAGGTGAAGCAAGTAAAATCTTTCATTAGAGGTTTCATGGAACTCTATGCTTCGACTTCTGTACATACTCAACAAGTGCACTTTCATGATAGGAACTAGAGACTTTCGAGATCAAGGCCATATCATGTCTTTGCCTGCTCTCCTCTCCTATCTCTCTTCCTCCTACATTGCTTTCCGTGCTTTCCCTGCGCTGTATTCCTGCCATAGTTATCAGCTCTAATCAAGGTTTGCTGCCTCTCACATGAGAAACAAACCTCTCTGGGGCGGACGTGAAAAAATCCCTTCAATTTTTAATAAAAACTTTCCGAGTTCAAAGAACTTCGGAACCTCGGGCATGAGTTCAAGTAGACCGCCGGTCATGTACTCGTAGAGGATGATCATTGATCGGACTCGAGATGATGACAGAGCTTCTTCCTTGCTAGTGCTTGCGGACGAGGCGGCTCGAGACGTGCTGGTCAGCAAGTTAGTAAGGAGGAGATCAGCGAGAGAGAGACTGAGCTGAGTAGTCAGCAGAAGATGCTTCTGTCCTCCGGGGTGGTAAGACTGGATGAAGCGGGAGCTGCTGCAGGACAAGACGAGCAACGAGGTGTACCTCTTCCATGGCACTCGGCATAACGTCGTTGACGCCATCCTCTCCTGCGGGCTCGACGAGCGAGTCTGCAGCATGGGAGGCTAAGTTGTTCGGAGCTGGCATCTACCTCGCTGAGAACTCCAGCAAGAGCGACGAGTACTGTCGGCCTGACTCCCGCGGCATCTGCTCCATCAAGTTCCTCATCCGAGCTGTGCTGGGAATGCCCTACGAGGCCGAGCAGCCGATGCCCAACACGAGGCTTCCTCTTGCCAGCGCTGACTCCGGTCCTCACGACTCCGTCATCGGAGTCACCAGCAACACTCACCCGTCCGCCTGGCTGCACAATTACAGAGAGTTTATCCTCTACGATGCTGCAGGGCAGCGACAGAGAGCCAGCACAAGATGGTGATGGTTTGATATGATTGTAATTGACATCTCTCCTACTGTACATGTGCAAACATCCTTCTACTGCACTATCACTCCAGCCCCGCGCTCTCGCTCGCCGATATGAACCAGTCGATCCATGTTGGGTCCAACGCCGCCACCTCCTCGTCCTCCCATCTGATCGCTACGGCTGCCTGCGCTTGCTTCCTCTTACTCCGGACCTCTTCGGCCGCCTTGTCCTGCCGCGATTTCCGCTCGTATGGCCAGCGGGGAATTCCGAGCCTCCGGCAAGCGCTCTTGAAGGCAGTGAGAGAGAGTTGCTAGAGACAAGGCAGTCAGAGGAAAGCAGGTCAGAGCAAGGATGAAGCTACCAGAGAAGAGGCCGCGTGAGTCTGGGGGAGGTGGAACAAACGAGCTAGGGTGGAGTACTCGACGTTCACTCCCTGCCCCCTTCTACGCTGATGGACCATCAGGTGCTGCAGAGGTTTCCTCCTCGGAAAGACGCGGACGTTGGTCGTGGTGGTATCAGTCATAGAGAGCTGGTTGTGTGGAACCTGCATGCGTCCTCTCCTCTTGTACCCTCCCTCCCTCCCTCCCTCCCTCTGCCCCTCTCGGTCGCATCTGCTCTCTTTGCTTGCCGCCCCAAGTGCTCTCAAGGTTGAGGATACCCTAAGTGGCGCTCTAAGTCGAAGTACCATAGCCTTTGACTGTCAATGTTTGGCCGGGGGGGCCGCATGCCTCGGAGTTTCCCCTTTCATTATTAGAGAGGGTCAAAAGTCTCTACTGCAGGTCTAAATCATCATTGTGTAGTAATAAAAGAGTCAATTGTGAAGAGCGTTAACTTAACCTTAAGTGAATCGGGGGCTTTCTAGTATACGGTACCGTCCTCCGCAACCGACCTCTTCAACCGTGCCACTGTGTGTTATTATTACCGTACGGCGTACCGTACGGTGACTGAGTGTCCACCCTTGACCCGTGGTGGACTGTGCGGCATGCTGACTCCCCGGCGACCGTGACAAGTGACTGTCAGCCGAACTTGAAGGGGCGTGCGTCATTCCAAAGGCAAGTTCCGACTCCCAGTACGGTCCGGCTGCCTATCACCGAGTGCCCGGCGCCGCGCCGCTGCGACTCGGACCCGGTCACGGGTGACTCAGTGACCGGGCCGCCGCGCGGCGCCGCCGGTTTCGAAATGATGACTCGGAACTCGGAAGTTCCAATGGCACTATACTCAGGCGATCGGCACTGGCACACAGTCACTGAGTGACTGTCCGGTCCGATACGGTCACGGAGCCGCTCCTCGGAGCCTCCGGGCCTCGGAGCCAGGGCCCGGCGGCCCGGCCCCACCGTACGGTACTCAACCAACCTTGAACTTTGGGTAAAGTTCCGTGCATGCCGTGGTTGCCCTGACGGGGCCCCGCTTGGCGCGCCCCGGCGGTACTTGAACTTTGAGCTCTTAAACCTCCACGGCCGCAGAATCATGTGAGGCCCGGCACCGCGGCGGGCCACCTTACTTTACTCAAACTTCCGTTAGCCGGGGGCCAGTTATGGGCCGCCCGGCGGGCAGTCACGCAGCCACCGGGCCGCGGAGCCGGGGCTCAGCCTGTTCAATGAAGTTGAACTGTACCATTCGTTACTGTGACTCACTGTACGGTCGTGACTTGCCAACTTCCTTCAAGTTCGGAATGATGATCGCCGGGAAGCCGACTGACACGGTGGAGTGCCGGGTCACCGGGCACTGATCGGGGGCCGGGCCGGGCCCGCCTGATGGGATGACGGGGGACAGCAGTCGGCAGGATTGGGGTTGGTTGTCGCTGTCTACTGAGTTTCTCAGTCTGGGGTCACCAGCCTCCTCGACTCTCCTGATTGTCCTCGTACTGATTTTAACTTAACTTTGAGTAAAGGGTGTATCTGCTGTGCCGCCATGGAGGTGGTCGGGAAAGGATTGCGATGGGCGGTCACGCGCGTAGCGCCCATAGCGGAGAGAGTGACGAGCTCGAGCATGGTCAAGCAGACCTCTCTGATCGTCTCCTCTCTCCTCTTCTACCTGTCCAAGATCCCCTTCCTTCTCCGATGTATCCTGGCGCAAAGACATGACAGGGTCTTGAAGGACGTGCGATACGGGGACAAGGAACGAAGAGTCCTTGACGTCTACCTCCCTCACAATCGCACTGGCCTCGGGGATTCTGTGGTTCTGTATGTTCATGGAGGAGCATGGTACTCGGGCAAGAAACTCTACTTCGCGCAACAGCCCTCAAGATCGTTGAAACACAGCACAGTAATAGTCATCAACTACACGTTACATCCTGAAGGAAACTGCTCGGAGATGGTGGACGATGTTTGTAGAGCGATAGCCTGGACCAAAACGTTCATTATGCAGAGGTCGAAGGAGCAAACTCCTCTCATCCTCATGGGTCACTCAGCAGGAGCTCATTTGTGCGCCATGGCGGTGGTGAGGCGAGCACTGAGCGAGGCGGGGCTGAGGGCTGAGGAAGGAAGCTTCCTCGGGTGGTCCTGCTCGGACTTGTCTGCTCTCGTCGGATTGAGTGGTGTGAAGGAGGAGGGAGGGAGGGAGGGAGGGAGGGAGGGAATGCGCTCATGGTCTGCAGGAGTCTACCATATCTCGGATCATTTCGAGCACGAAGCGACGAGGGGAGTTTCGGAAGTGAGGTGATACAGCTAACGAAGGAGGGAGGGATAAAGACGCCAGGGAAGATGCTGCCAGGGAGAGTTAGAAGATGGAGGATGAGAGAGGGAGAGGGAGAGGGGGAGCAAAAGGGAGGAGGAGAAAGGGAGGTAGAGGGAGGAGAAGAGGGAGAGGGAGAGGGAGGCAGAGGCAGAGGCAGAGGCAGAGGGAGGAGGGGGGGAGAGGGGGAGGGAGGAGGAGAGGCGGGGGAGAGGGAGAGGGAGAGGGAGAGGGGAATTGCTGATTGCGTTTTGAGTCCTGATGACCTCATGCTGTCTAGTCCGATGTGCGGAAGGAAGAAGAATCTCTTCACTACCGCAGGGTTGGCGGATCCGGTCATGGGAGCAGATCGATCGTTATGGGACAACAACTCTCCATCGAAGCTGGTGGAGGTCGACTCCTCCTCTGCTGTGCTCTTCGTTCTCCTCTTCCCCTCTTTCCTTTCTCCTCTGCACTCATGATAATCTTTCGTTCTCTCCTCCTTGTCCTGCCGTCCTGTCCTGTCCTGTCCTGTCCTGTCGTCGCTCTTCTTTCCCAGGGTGACAATCTTTTTATCTCTCAGGATCTCCGAGGAGAGGAAGGGTTGAGGTGTGTGGGACTTTTGATTCTTCCGCATCGTTCACCTTCACTGCAGACTTTCCCGTTGCCTCCCTCCCGTCCTCCTCCTCCACGGCACCGACGATGTAGTTGTGGGTCAACCCTGGTTGCTCCCTCCTGCCTCACTCCCTCCCGCAGGTTCCTGTCTCCTCCTCTTTCCGATTCTTCTCAGCTCTCAAGCGCATCCAGCACTCATCGTGCAAGTTGAGGTGAGATGAACGAGTGCTGGTGCTGGTGCTGGGGCTGGGGCTGGGGCTGGTGCTGGTACTGGTGCTGGTGCTGGTGCTGGTGCTGGTGCTGGTGCTGGTGCTGGTGCTGGTGCTGATGCTGGTGCTACATCAGCTTCTTGCTTCTCTTCCGCATGTTGAATTTTTCATCCACCCTTCTGCTCTCCTTCCCGTTTCGTCTCACAGCTCCTAGGTACCTGGCAGGCTGCGATCACGGGCTGGGGATCTACGAGGATACAGGTGGGGCCTCAAAGTTCTGGGCAGAAGTGATCGCACAGGATGTATTGATGGCGTCGAAGAGATGAGCTAGTGTCTGGAAGGGAGAGGCAGAGGGGAAGAGCGGAGGAGGGAGCTGGAAGGAGCAGGGCAGCTGGAGGAAGAGAGGAGAGAGGAAGTTTCGTAGCATGTACATATGTTCACATTACAAAAAACTGCCTCCTCGTGCCTGCTAGAGGCACAAGGCAAGGCAAGAGGGCACGTGAAATGAAAGGAAGGAGATGTGGGGAAAGGGGGGGGAAGAGGAAGGGAGGCGAGAGGTCAAGGGACGGTGGGAGAGAGGGATCAGTACACGCAAGAAAGGAAGACATCGGTTGAGTTGGCTTCTGCTGCTGCCATGGGAGCACTTTTGCCCTGTCGGGCTGTCAGGCAACGAAACAACTCCCCGCACCCCCCTCAGTTCCACCCATGCCTTCCCGTACTCCCTCCCCTCCCTTCCCCTCCCCTGTCTTGCCGTCCTCCCATCTCCCCCCCCCTCCTCCCTCGCTGCCCCCTCAGGACCTGCAGCAGAGACGCGTAGAAGACTCGCAGCTTCTCCATCCTCTCGCAGGGTGGGAGCGGACGAGCCGGCATGACGACGGACGCGGCCCCCGCAGACATTAGCATCCTCGCCTTCCTGAAGGGAATCGCGTGCCGCAGTACCACCACCTTGTCTGAGAGGAGAGTCAGGGGTTGTGCTAAGAAAAGAGGGAGCGAGGGAGGGAGGTACAGGGAAGGAGATCGACTTGATAGAGAGGAGGGAGAGAAACGAGGAGAGCGAACAGAGACTAAGGAAAGGATGAACGAGGAAGGAGGAGGTCGAGGTTGAAAGAAGGCAAGAAGGGAAGACGAAGGAGAAAGGGTAGGAGAGGTCGAGGTCGAGCAGAGACAAGGAAAGGAGGAGGAGGAGGAGGAGGAGGAGGAAGTGGGGGGAGGGGGAGAGGAGGGAGAGAGGGCAACCATGGAAAGGGCTCTTCCTCCCCGAGCTAGCTTCCAGCACACTCTCCCATGAAGCAATCTGTCTCGCCCTGTACTTGGAGAAGAGGAAAATGCGGTCGTTAGCATGCAGGACTCGCCCGCCTGCTCCTGCTCCTGCTTCTCCTTCCCCCTCCTCCTCCTCCAGTTTCATTTGGCAGCCTCGGAAGATCCATTTCTCTACCGGAGACGTATGGACCGTCCTGCACCTCAAATCACCACCAAAACCACCTCTTCCACCTCTGTCTCTTCCTCTTTCACTTCTTTCTCCTCCTTTCCTCTCCCTGCCTCACCTGTTCGCCTCCAACACCTCGATCAGCTTCTTCACGTCCGTCAGGTCAACCTCACGCGAGCACCCGCGAGTCCCAGCGAGAGAAGGAAAACAACTTTCCTCCAACTTCTGCTGAACCCCTCGCTCCTCCTCTTCCTCGTCTACTGTCCTGTCTTCCTCCTCTTCCTCCTCCTTCCCCTCCTTCCTGTCTTCCTCCCAATCGTCGTCGTCGTCCTCCTCCTCCTCCCTGTCTTCCTCCCGCCTCTCCTCCTCTTTTCTTTCACGCTCTTGCTGCTCTTTCTGCATGTCAAATACAGCTCCCTCTCCATCGCCACCCGCACAAACCGTTGGCATCCTTTCTCTGCCCACCTCCTCCACTGCCTGTTCCTCCTCCGTTACCTCCTCAGCAACCTCTCTCTCTCCCTGCGCCTCCTCTTTCTTCTCCTGCTCCTGCTCCTGCTCCTGCTCTTCTCTACCAACGGGTCGAGGAGCTGGGAAGTCATTCAGCATATCAGCAGGCGAAAGGAGCAAGCGAGCAATACCTTCATCATCACTTGTGCAGACATGCTGCTGCTGCTGCTGCTGCTGCTCCGTTTCTGTCCCCTTTAGACCCTCCTGATCCTCCTCCGTCTCTCCTTGTTGTGCTGCCTGAGCCCTTATGTCGTCCATTTCAACTGCCCCCTTTGTTCCCTCCTCCTTCCCCTCCTCCTCCTCTCCCTGCTCCTTGTCCTCCTCCTTGTTGTCTTCCTCCTCTCCCGTCGCTTCTTCTTCGTGACTCGCATCCACCGCATCTTCATACTCAATCGCACTCACCCTCACCCTCCCCCCCGTGTCGTCCACAAACCGCAGGCCGTTGAAGCTCTGCCATGCTCGCGGCTGGTGGGGGGAGAAGGAGGAGCGGGAGGGGGAGGAGCGGAGACAGCCAAGGTACTTCTCTCCTGCCTCGCAGGGTTTGACCATCCACACGTTTCCCCTCAGCCTTCTGTCCGCCTGCTCGTGGAAGAGGAGGAGGAAGAGCCCGGAGGTGTGCCGGTAGATTCTCCTCCTCCCGTGCTCCTCTGGCGTCTGCAGGTAAATCCCGTTCGCTTCTTCCACCTCGCACCCTCTCACTTCCACTGCTGGGACACCCTCTCCACCTCCCTCCCCTCCGTTGTCCACCTCCTCCTCTTCATCCTCCTCTTCCCTCCCCTCTGCCATGAGCGAGATGGCCTGGTCGGCATGGGAGGAGCTGGAGTGCAGGATGGACATGGCGTCCTCGATGGACAGAAGAACCTGCGGCAGCGTCAGCATCCTCTTGCTGACTTCAAGGGGCGACCTGCTCCGAGCACCAGGACAGGATGAGATCTCCGCCGGACTTTAGGGTGTCGCCTATCAGAGCAGAGTCACCAGAGAGGAAGAGGAGGGAGAGTGTAGGGAGGAAAGAGGGACGGAGAGGGAGAGTTGGTGGGAGGTCGAGGACGAGGAAGAGGAGGACGAGGGAGAGGAGGGGGTGGAAGGAGCGAATGTTCCTCTCACATTCGATCTGAACGACGTTGGCGGTGGAGCGGTGGAGGACGCGGAGGAGGAAGGAGATATCGAGCTCCTGCTCGCCGCTGACGCTCAAGTCAGAGGAGGAGGAGGAGACGGCCTTGCAGGTCCTGGTGAGGACCCCCTCATGGAAGGACAGGAGCTGGGAGGGGACCTCCATCCTGGCAAACATCTCAACCATGTCCCGTCCCTGCCCCTCCTCGCATGGCAGCAGCGACTCTAAGAAGAGAGCCCGCAGCTTCGATCCTATCCCATGCTTGCCCAGCGGCCGCTCGTTCAGAACCTCCCGCAGCATGAAGGAGGAGTCATTGATAGGCGAAGGCCCCTTCCTCTTTCTCCCTCCTCCTCCCCCTTCCTCCTTCTCGTCCTCGTCCTCGTCCTCGTCCTCCTGATGATGGCCAGCCATGGAAGGAGCGCAGGAGCGGAGGATGCAGGCTATCTCCTCCATGGTAGCGATGTTGTCCTCCATGAACTCTTCAGCCGCCTGCTCGATCCCCATCAGCGTCTCCTGCTTGATGTCGTCGATCTCCACGTTGCATCGCTCGTCCTCCACCTGCAGCCGGAAGATCGACATGCCGGGGATCATGGGGGAGAGAACCTCGAACGCCTCTGCCACCCTCTCCGAGCTCGTCGCCGCCTCAACCATGAGCTCTCCGAACGTCTCCATCATCATCCCGATCCCGCTGCTGCTGGGCTTCACCTCCCTCCTCACCGGCGGCCCCTTCCCCGTCCCCACCGACACCATCAGCTCCATCGCTCTCCCCGGCCACAGTCGCTGCGCCTCGTGTACCGCCACCACCGCCGGGTTGTTGGTCACGATCGCGCCATCCTGCAGCCTCTCCCCGTCGGACACAAACTCGTCGAAGAAGTAGGGGGCAGCCGACGACGCTCTCATCGCCTCCAGCCACGTCGAGCTCGACCGACCGGGAAAGCTCTCCTTCATCCCCGGCGGCAGCTGGTAGGAGCGGAACACGTACGGCCGGATCGGCCGCTCGGACACGAGGGTGGACACTACTGCTGTCTTGCACGCGTGCGGGTCCAGACTCGCCTCAATCATCCTGCGGCTTACTGCCTCCCCGAACTGAGATTGCAGCACCTGCATCAGCGGCCCCGCGTCGTACTTGGCCCCCTGGAACAGCACCCTCCTCATGCTCGACCCGCTCTGAACGAGCTTCGTCCACCACGACGTGCTCCCCTCCCCTCCCTGCAGCTCTTCCTTCAGCAGCTCCTCCCTCACCAGCACATTCTGGATCCCTCCTGCCCCTCCTGCCCCAGCTGCTGCCGCTGGTCCTCCTGCTCCTCCTGCTCCCGCAGGCTGCGCTCCCTGGGAGTTGTTGAGCTTGTCCTTGTCGCGGGGGAGGGAGAAGGCCTTGCGAGTGATGGCGCGGTAGATCTTCTCAGCTTCCGTCATGTTGAGCTTGTTGCCCATGGCAGATGCGATAATCCCCCCGGCGCTCGTGCCAGCCACCAGGTCGAAGAGCGAGTACAGCGGCTGCCCGCATGCTCGCTCGAGGCGCTGGAGGATGCGGATGCTTGCGATCCCCTTCACTCCTCCTCCGTCAACCGAGAGGATCCGCAGCCCGCGGTGCTCGACGATGGGAGACAGCCTCGTCGCTCTGCTCAGCGTCTGGTTGTCTCCCAGGATCGCCAGCACTCGCAGAGCTGCCGCTAGGACCGCCTCCTCGCTGGGCGCCTCCATTCTCATCCCCTCCCCGTGCAAGAGCGTCCGGTGCTTCTCCTTCTCTGCTGGGATCGGGCTGAAGATTCTCGGGCTGAGCACAGAGCTCGGCGCTTCCTCGTAGAACCGCACGCCGTCGGCGTCACCCAAGTCCTTGGACGGGGAAGAAGCGAACGAGTCCTTGAGCAGCCCACGAGGGGAGGAGGAGGAGGAGGAGGAGGAGGGGAGGATCACCTTTCCTCCTCTCTCCTTGCAAGGAGACTGATACACCTTGTCCTTCACCGTCTCCGTCAGGGATCGAACGGTCGCGAGCATCCGCGCGTCGCCCAGCAGGAGCCGGCGGTGGGAGGAGTGGAACGCGAGGTCGCCCAGCAGGCCGAGGGCCTCGCGCTCAAGGGATCGATCGGCCTCGTTCCCCTTGAGCATCTTGAGTAGCGTCTGAGACACGATGTCGTACCGCAAGCTGATCCCCATGTCGTAGTGCTCGTACCGCAGCCTCCTGCTCGTCTCTCTGCTGTCCGCCAGCATCGCCCCGCACACCTGCTGGCTGCATCCTGCCATGGACCGGAGGGTGAGGAGGACGAACAGCTTGAGGGCGACGGAGTTGTGCTCGGAGGACAGCACCTCACAGAATCGCTCGACGATCTGGAGCTCCAGCAGCTCCATCGCCTGCTCCTCATGGTCGCACAGCTTGCTCACGGCTACACACGCGTCCAGGGCCAGCGGCTCCGAGCCCTCGCACATGGCCAGCAGGTGATGCAGGCCGGAGGTGCCGGCGATGTCGGAGGAGATGAGGGCCCGGTACATCTTCTCGTTTGCAATGCAGGCCAGCAGCGCCCCTAGCAGAGCATGCCAGGAGGAGGAGGAGCGCAGGACGGGGACGAGGGAGGAGCGCAGCTCGGTCCGAGCCTCCTTGCTAGAGGGGAAGAGCTTGATGGCACTCGATCCTGCCTTGAGCAGCTCCACGTGCACCGCAAGAGCCTCGAAGAAGCGACGGGGGTCCCGCCTCGGCGCCCTGGCCTTGATGTAGAGCGAGAACAGCGAGAGCTCCGTCAGGGTCGAGAGGTGCGCCAGGCTCGGCAGGTAGTCCAGCTGGATCAGCCCCAGCAGCAGCGTCCGCAGCTTGCATGCGCGGAAGTCGAGCTCCCTCACCGTCAGCCGCGGGTTGTTCTGCAGGTTCAGCGACTCCAGCCGGGGGCACTGGACGAAGAGGGAGGGGGAGATGTCCAGCAGAAAGTTGTCGCTCAGGTCCAGCTCGCGCAGGTTCGCCAGGCAGCTGAAGGAGGAGGCGGGGAAGGACTTGAGCTGATTCCTCCGGAGGGAGAGGGAGGTGAGGGAAGGAGAGAGTGCGGGCTGAATGAAGTCAAGCAGCTTGTCGTTGGCAGCCTTCTGCCCCGAGAGGCCGAGAACCTGCAGCGAGCTCCGCACCAAGGGCTTCACGTTGCTCTCCAGGTCGACCTCAGCTCCCAGAACCCGCAAACTGGTGATGCTGTCAAAGCTCGCGGTGTCAAGAGGCAGCGACTTGATCACACGACTCTTGTCGCTCGTTGCAACTTTCTCTATCTTGACCATCACCACGTTGCTGAGGAGATCTGCCTCACTCTGATAGGCCTCCACTGGAACCCTCCGCTCCTCTTGACCCCGAAGCTCCATGCTCGGGCTGTCTGCATTTCTTCGCTCACTGCTATCCGCCCCGAGGGGACTCGATGCTTCCGGAGGGCAGGTCACCAGGCTTGCAAGTTTGGCATGCAGCGACTTCCTGGCGTTCTCGAGGTCGCTTGTGCGCCAAGTGAAGTTGAGGCCTCGGTCAGCATGGTCTCTCAGCACCAGCCTGAAGTGATCTTCCTTGGTCTTCTTGTCTCCTCCTTCCACTTTGTCTCCAGATTTTGCTCCTTCTCCCCCTTCCCCTCCGCCCTTGCCAGAACCTGATCCCCAGATCCACATGCTCCTATCGCCTCACCTCAATCGTGGTCTCTCTTCTGCAGCATGAAGCTCAGCTCTCCTCCTCCTCCTCTTCCTCTCGCCCCCATCCCTTCCATGCTTCCTCTGCCCTCTGACGTGGATGCATGGCGATCGAGTGGTCTACCATCATTCTGGTTCTATCCGCCTTATAAGTACTGCCCGAAAACGGGTTAGTGAAGACTCAGAGCTCGACTAGCTGAGGTAGGGCACTTGACTAGCTGAGGTAGGAGACTCAACTAGCTGAGGTAAGGCACTCAACTAGCTGAGGTAAGGCACCCTGCAGGTAGATGGTAGGGCAAAGGAGTCTGCATACCCCACCGGCTAATGTCAGATTAAAGTTTACAACCTCACTCGTGTAATGTGTATACAGTCTACTCCTCCGCCTCAACCTCCAGGTGGTTGCTGATCTCCTGCTCCAGCCACTTGAACCCATAGAATTTCGCCACCTGACGTCAACAGTGAGGGGGCGACAACAGAAGCCAACAGACGCATCACGCTCACCCCAAGAAGTGCTTCCAGTCTCTCCGTCACCGCCGAGGGCTTCAGCGCATGCTCGAACTTGCCCGAGCATTGGCAGTAGTCGGACATCATCAGGGAGGCGGCGCGATGGCACTTGTTGCATCGCAGATCCTGCTGTGCGTAGCTCGTGGTGAGCTGGCTGACAGTCTGAACGAGTCGAAACTCGATGGCAGTGCGATCGTAGGGCAGGTCGCACTGATGGCAACGGAACTCTCCATCGCCTTGCCCAGCCTGCGCGTTGACAACGGCAGCAATGAAATCCTGTTCCCGGCAGAGATCGACATCTCGCGAGGCCGAGCACAGCACAGAGGAGCAGAAGAGATCAGGGAGGATGACGGATCGAGCAGGATTCTTGAACTGAGCTTCCACAGAGAACTCTCGAACCTGTACATGAGCGTCAGTCATTGACAGATGGACAACGATGCAAGACTAGAAGCAGACAAGTTCGCCCTTACAGGCGCTGCTGCTTACCTGCAGAAGTTTAAGAAGCCCACGTTTCATGGAGGCCACCTCCGACGAGATGTCGGAGTCTAAGCTGAAGACGTGGCAGAGATGTTTGAGAAGCTCAAGCTGCGGGCTGCCGAATTCAAGGTGAGTGCCCGGTCTGTAGGGATACTCCCCCATCCCGTTGATCTCCTTGCTCATCTCCTCAAAGAGACGCTTGCTGAAATGAGGGGCCCCATCCTTAGTGCGCATCTGATTTGGAAAGTCTTCACCCGACGACGTGAAAAGTTCTTTGGTGAACCGAATCTCATGGTTGATGGTCTCACCAAGAGCCCGTCTCTTCTGCGTGAACCCTTGCGAGAAGATCTGAGAGGTCTGAGGAGTCTCACCATCTGAGCTGCTCTTCTCGAAGTTCGACAGTCGGTACTTCATCGGGAGGCAGAGGTACTCGTGCACCATGTCGTGAAACAACTTCTGGTGCCGCCTCGGTAAGTGGTCCGCGATTTCCCAAGACGATCTCAACAACAGCCCCTCCTTTGTCAGGTCGATCTCGGGTCGCAAAGCGACTTGAACGGCTCTCTCCTCCTCGTACTCAGGAGATGTCGGGTCGAGCTCCTACAAGCATAATCAGTAGATGTTCATCAACCGTATTGATTGCATTGCCTGCAGTCCAGCAAAATTGTATCTATCCATGTACACCAGCCTCGCCCAAAATATCTGCGGATCCATTCGGATGAATTGAAAGCAGGTAACCTTGCAGATCCCTAGTTAGCCATCTAACGTGATGATCATATGAAGTACCTCATTGATTTCGCTGACAAGGAATTTGCAGTATTCCTGTGCTTGCTCGAATTGAGTTTTCTTGAGATTAAGAATCAACTGATGGAAGCTAGCCTGGAAGAGCGAGTGTCAGGGGACGGAATCATACGAGAGAAAAAGTGCCTGAATCACTTCAGCTCCCAACGATCTGATTCTTGCCAGGAGGAGCTGATACGTCTTTCGCATCAACCTGTGCACGAATCGTACCATCGCAGGCGCATAGAACAGACTGCTAGAACTGTTGATCCAATTATACAAGTGCATCTGAGAAGAGAAAGTGAGTATATCGCATTCAAGATGCATAAATAATCACCTGCAGAACATCCGCGTGAGGATTGGAATTCTTCATTGTGTCATTGACCCAGCTCTCAGCCATGTATGCGATGAACTTGAAGGGCTCCAAGCAGAAGGTGGTCTCATCTACCAAGGTGCAGGCAAGAGGGATATTTCCCGTGGCCATTTGCATAGACAAAGTTTCGTTGAAATCGTCTGAATGAGCTGTACTTGCCAAGAATGAAGAATCTTCCAGGTCCTTAGCATGTACAATTGCTGAGATAGAAAGTCAGAAGTGAGGCTTTCAGTGGGATCAGCTTGATACCGGTTAGAGGCAGATGCTCCAAGTCCATTGTAACACAATACTGCCGAAATGACCCTGGAAAGTTGGCATCTGGATTCTTGAGCTCGTCGCATTCAAAGGCATAGAGCATTTCGCTGCTGCCAACATCAGGGCGGCAGCCAGGGGAAGCCCATAGGATATAGTTGTTGTTCTTCAATAACCTTCCGAAAAGGATGTCGCTCACCTGAGAGAATTCATCAGACCTTTCCCGCAGAGCGATTAAGATTACCGTTGTAGCCATGTCTGCGTGATTCGAGGAGATGTTGCAGATGGGAATGTGGGAATACCTGGCAAATTTCAACACGTACCTGCATGATGCTGTTACTGCATCGACATAACCTCAAAAAGAACAAATTACTCGAAGAATCGATCCACTTCAATGAGGTTCTTTATGAAAGCTTTTCCCGCTTTCGTTTCCCAGCCCAGGGGTTCATACTCATTGTCGGTTGAATAGGCTGGAACTTCCAAGACAGGAAGATCATTCATGATGGGCGCCATTTGGCAGATTTCCTCGACGCTGTGGTTCGAGTAAGGGCCGGGGCGTATAACAGATGAGAACAGTCAACCTTTTCATGCTTTGCTTTAGAATCACAGTCGGCGCACTCGGAGATTCATCCAAAAACTCTTTGAGGATGGCGTTGACGCCAGCGAAAGCCTCCTGTTGAGTTGAAACATTTTCTATCTCAAACTGAAAAGTTTTGAATGAGTGACACTGGAAGCAACATATCAACGTACCTCAATCTCTCTGTTTGCTAAGCTTTCAATCGCCAAGCGTTCTGGCGACTCCTCTTCTAGGATGTTGGCATGTTCTTGGCACAAGTCCTTCAAAAATCGGGACAAAGGAGGTCTTTGTGCATTGAGATTGCGATTGACCAACCATACCACACATCTAGGAAACATGCAATCAACTCTGATGAAACTCCTACAATGTATGCAAGCTTACCTGCGCTCTTCAAGTGGAGCAAACAAAGCAACAAAGCCTCTTGCTCCACCGTCATTGTCGCTGAAATTCTGATATAGAAACGACTTTCTCATCCGTATTCTGCTGTTGGGAAGGTACGGGCAGGCTGTGGTAGACTCGAACTTAAGGTCCAACATGGAGATAGTCTCCGGCCTCTCGCGGCCTTTGATTACTCTTTCTCTGAAACCACCTGGCCTGCGATTCACTGAGGTGACACACCCGATGGACATCACGGCCCGATACAGGAGCGGGACTTGAGTTTCATAAAGTCCCTCCACAGTAGGATCTTCGTGCTCGGTTGCGATCGTCTTCGAGTGCTCTTGGTAATCGTACTCCGACATTGTCACCTGGTCATGATGATCAGAGTAGGTACGAAACTCAACATGAGACTGCACCTCTTCAAGATTGTAGCACTTCTTGCCGAACGGCAATTTTCTCGAAACGATGTTCTTTGTTGACTTCGATGATGTCTCAGGTGAAAATCGTTGATTGACATAGAAAATTCTCGGAACTTCCATCTCAATCTTCTGCATAGAGCCATCTTCCAAGATTGCCCACACGTCATAGATTCCTGGAGTCTTGGTCTCCGAAATCTAGAGAAAATCAGTCGCACTAGAGATAGCATGCATTCGTACCTTTAAGATATCCCAGTAACGTGACAGCATGGTGTGGTGAAGGTTCTTGAAAAAGCCTGTCATGCCACCTGCGGGGACAAACTTGCGAGGGAGCTTGTGATCTCGGTTGTAGCCTTCCCCTTCTTCTAATCTCTTTCTCTTCCTTTGTAACACTTGCATATGCCACAAGGTTCGCATATATGAATGCCACGTCTCAAAGTCAGACTCCATTGTAATCTTTTCGGTCTTGATTTTTGTGAGGAGTTCTTCTTGCCTCTTCACAGATTCTTCAGAAAAAATTTCAGCTTCCATGGACTGTTGACACTTCTTCCCCTTCTTGCCGGTGCCTTTATGACGCACCACAGTCGGAAATGCTCCATTGCTCTTTTGAACAGTGCCCTCGATGTCCATCACTGTAGGGTGCTCCATGGCGCTGGACTGCTCGGTTGAAACTTTGCTGGAGCCACTTTCGTCAACTTTGAAGAAGCTGCCAATCTTCTGCTGCTTGAAGCGGTCATTTCGTTCACGTACAATTCGCAGCAACCAATCCGGGTGTGGTACCCTGCCAACTGGATTCTCAACATTCTGCCAGAACAATCAGCTGTCATCCTGACATGAAATATTGTCATACCTGCATGGCTGCAGGAATCGTAACGATCTTCTGAATAGACGACGCCAACCGATCTTTGTAATACCTGCGAGTCGGTTTCAGGCCGAAATCAAGACAAAAATTTCAAATCATACTGCCAATCAAGGATGCTTCGAACGTCTATGGAAGAATCGACCAATGTGCTAGTGTTGCACCATTTTTTGAGAAACGCATTTTGGATGCGGGGTTCGGCCTTGAAAATTTCCACAGGAATTGCACGTTCAGTCACAGGGCTCCCTTCTGGGTTCCTGGAGACAACATATTTGCAAGCAAGTCCTTTGTCCTTGATCATATCTCCTCCCAAAAATTCTGCGATTCTGTTTGCAGTTGTGATGGCCATGGACTTTCGCTCTCCATAGGCCTCCATCGACTTGCTCATGTTGCAGGACTCAGAGATGAGATCGATCAACTCTTCATCTTCCAAATCTATTCCCTTGTTATCCTGCCAGCCAGTTACAAAAATTTAAGAGGAGAGTCTTGACGCACAAGCACATCAAGCCATTGATTCGCAACTGCTGCGACCGAGTTGTAGCACTCAATCAAATCTGTGCCATCAAGGAAACGCTTGAATACTTCCGATTGAAACACCTGGACAGAAGCTAAACATTGATTCAATGCATGTATGATGAGTACCTTGACCAATTGGAGCTCTCCACGTCTCTTCAACTCGAAGCCTTTAAGCTCCGCAAGAGACCCGTCAAAATTGAAAACCGCATACCTGATGGACAGAGTAAGCGATTCATTGCAAGCAATTGAAGCTCACCTTTTTTTCAATTTCTTTCCTTCTTCCTTTGCGGCGGGCAAAATCATGGCTTTGTATGGACCATCGAGCTCAAATAGAATTGAACATTCGCTGTGGACAGAGTATTTTTGCTTCTCCTCGTCGACGAGTGTGTGGTATTGGTGATTGACACAGTCATGGTGCGTTTGCGCATTCAACATAGAGCAGGGATAAGAAACGACCAGAGGCTTCTTTTCGCCTTTCACCTTGAATTCGATTCCGTCTGGAAAAGACTGTGGGAGACAACACCAAATACCATCGGTATCCAATTCCAGAGGAATTCCAATTCGTTCAACCAGTTGTCGAGCCACTCGGATGATATTACCACCCTTGTGAGTCACCACTCCTGCCATTTCCATCGAGTACCAACGTGCACCTCGGCGCATCACATAGCCATAGAAAGAGTTCAAGATGCATTTGTGCGCAAGCTGCAGAGAGTCATACAAGACCACAAACCCCTTGCACTCTTTGGTTGCAGCTGGATCTCCTGACTTTTCTGCCTCTTTTAATTTTCCACCCCAGGACTTTGTCAGTCCCTTGTACGTATACCTCCTGTCTCGAAAGGCCCGCACCGTATCAATATAGAAACTGTTTTCTCTCTGGCAGATGTATGCTGTGCGCACTTCAGTAAGGGTATCGTGGGTGCGCTTGTAAACTTTGCTACAATAGTCCTTGACCCTTTTCCTGACTTCAGTCGAGGAGACTTCAAAATCTTCGGAGTCGTGCTTCAATTGCCCTGTCACTTGATGAATCTCATTCTTTGTAGCTGGAAAAATCTCTCCTCTCCACTGCCATTGCATTTCTCGCCTACAATTCATCTCTGGATGGTAAAAGTCACAACTTGCACATGTCTGTGGAGTGACCATGGCGGGTGGTTGCAGCCTGTTTGTGAGGATGATATTCGGGTACATGGCAGCAACATCCAAGTGGTAGATGGACGGATTCTCTTCGCGACGTGGTGTTTCGCGGAGAGCTTCTAACATCTTCACGATCTTCTCCTTTTGAGCGTCATAATCTTCGATATCTTCAAATTTCTTGCCACCTTCCACAGTAATAGCAAAGTGCAGGTCACGATCCATGTTCGCAATCAATTCGTCTATGGCTTTCGGATCGATGTTGAACTTGTACATGAAGTCTGATCGAAACACACCAGAATTCAATGCCTCAACGTGCCCACCAATGTATGTCTCGCTTTCAATCAAGTGTCCTTTGTACATCTTCATAGGATCGTCCTTGTGCTTGTTCGGACAGACAATATTGCCCCGATATGCTTCTACCTGCAACAGTGTCTCACAAAGAGTTCCAGATCCTTTGCGAAGAACATCGCCAGGTGTCATCGGAATGATATTGCAAAGCGAAAAGATGAATGGATGGACGTACTGCATGTACAAGTAGTAAGTTGCCACTGCATCTGATACTGAGTACGAAGCCATCTCTTGAGGCCTTTCCCGTGCAAAAGGCAACATGTCCTCAGGATCTATTTCTTTAGGATCGTAACCAAGTTTGTGCTTCGTAACAGCTTTTAAGCCACGGCTACCCTGAGGGAGGTACGAATCACGATTTACCCAGTGAAAAGCATCGAGATGACAAGCAAAGCGGCTGCTGTATTCTTCACTTTGCTGCTTTTGAAGTCCAATCTCAGCTTCCATATTCAGTCCATACTTCTTCATGCGTGCGTCCACAAACGGAAAATCAAAAAAATCTCCGTTGTATGTCACAAAAATCAGAGGCTTGACCTCCTTTATGTGATCAATGAACCGCTTTAACAATGCAAGTTCGTTCGGAACGTTGAAGCAGGTAAAGGGCCCTTCATATTCTTTTTTGGGAGTATAGTCAAAATCATCAATGTCTTCTGTCACAATTTCCCTGTTCACAATGAGAAATCCCTCTCCATCAATCATGTATGAAATCATGTAAATCGTATCAATTTCTGAATCTGGAAATTTCAAAGGCTCTTTCGTCACTTCAATATCAAATGCCAGAACTCTGGGTTCCGCTCTGCCCCACTTCTCTGTCAGATTAGGTCTCGGCATGATGTCCACGACTCCCTCTTGTATTTGGACCTCGTACCACAGACCAACAAAAAACTCATGATCAATCGCAACACGCATGACATAAGGCACATCATATTCTCGCATGTCAATAATCATGTCCAGAACACTTTCCTGCAATCTGTTGGACAAATGATTTGTTTGACCATCGAAAGATACAGAGCCATTCTCCTTCTCTTTCTTTCGCTCGACATTACGCTGAACCATGCTCGAAAGTTCCTTCCTCACTTCAACCAAATCTTTCACATTTCTGAACTTCAATTGCAGCATATTCCGTTTGAGTCCAGCTAAGTGATTTGGCATGTCCAGGTCCCACATTTGCTTGTGTACAACATCAGCCAGGACTTCTGCATACTTTCTGCGCAAAACGGATTCAATTTCTCTTTCGAATCCAGGCTCCGTTGCAATGTAAAAGTAGGGGTTGTACTTGAACAAAACCTTGAACTTTGAGCCATCTTGCTGGATGAAGTAATAATCAACACCACTCACTTCTGCGCCAGTTTCACTGTCTGATATGGTAACAGGTGCATATGTAACCATCCACCCGAGTCTGTTCGGTCCTTCGGTAAAATTTTCGAATCCAAAGTCATAATCTTGTTCGTCAGCCTCTACTTTTGTCCTTTTGACTACCTCCACATAATCTTTCTTTGCACTTGTAAGGGCACTAAAACCACGCTTCACATCTTTCTTTCCTTGATCTTGATCGTTGCTCCTGGATTTACCGTGTTTTGAAGAGGTGTTCTTCCCCCTGAAACCGATCCCACCAACACCGTCTCCTTCCTGAAATCCATTTTTTTTCCTGTGAGATACGAGGTCAAAGATAAAACGAAATCGCCAAGGAAGTTACCCTGTATGCAAAGGATTTTGTGACTTTCCACCATGGCCTCGCTTTCGGCCGGACATGTTGCTCGGATAAAGCTACCCGGCCCTGCAAGTTTCACAGATGTTAAACAATAACAAAGAACCGCAATAGTTCACGAGTTGTGTGCCCTGCTCTGATCATATTTATCTACATCGTCTTGCATGAATCTTTATCTCTTCTTCTTTCCTGCAGGATCACTAGGTTTCCATTTGAGCCTACATTCCTTTGAGACACACCATTGTGCAGCCTTTGATCTCCACAGAATGAAGAATGGATCCATCACCCTTCGATCATGCACATACACAGAACTGAGCTACGATTATGAGACGACGCGGAAATGTGGGGGATATATGACGTCGAAAGAAGAGAAGACGAGCCAAGACATAAGTAAAGTGGGAGAGAAGATGGATGTGAGGGAGGGAAGGGAGACAAACGAGAGGTTGAAGACAACCAGATCGAGAGGGTAGAGGAGTGGATGAGAGGGTGCATAGTGGAGGAGAGGTGTGGATCAGAGGAGAGGAGAGCAAGAGGGCGGAAGTCGAAAAGAGAAGGCAAGAAGAGGCGAGGCGAGAGGAGAGGGGAGGAGGAGCGAACTGTTTTGTCCATGTCCCATCGTATTGGCCATTTGGCGCCAAAGCCCGTGATGCAAAGAGTTGGGGGCAAATGAACAACTTAGGGGGTAGGGGTAGGGTCCTAGGTTGGGTACTACATCACTTTCAAGTTCGCCTCAGAATAATTAATATCAAATATAGAAGGACAAAACCTCTTACTATTGCAGACGCGCCCCTCATTCCGGGTTCACCTCAGAGGATTGGTGGGGGCGGAACTCTTCAAGCTTGCATGCGGGAGGTGGAGCTGTGGAGCTCTGCGGGCGCTGAAAAGAAAAATCACAATTTCGAACAGCTTGCTTCAAATTTCAAAATTGAGGGAGACAGTTGGAATCGGGTCGTGCGAATAAGGTGTGCGAAACGAGGGGAGGGAATGCCGGATCGAGAGAAGGACCAGACTAGCCAGCCATGAGCACTGCGAAGCATTAGCCGAGGAGGAGGAGAAGAGAGCAGATATACTGGAACAAGACTGTTACTTTTCTGCGAACATCTGCTGTGAGTTGAGTCATTCAAATCCAAGTTGTCTTGCATTGCAACTCCGGGTGGCCTCTGAGGTGACGGCGCGCTAGTACAGAGCAGAAGCTCAATCTGCTATTCAGGGTGATCAGAGAGCAGTCAAAGACCTAGTCCTCCTGTAAATCTCTTTGGCCCCCGATAAATTCGCGGCGCGGAGCGTTTGTAGGGGATTACACTTTCATAAGTTTGCCATGAAGGCATTTTTGACAGTCGCAACGCTACTTCTTGCGGTCTTTCCGTGTACGTCTGGGGGCCATGCTCCCTCTTCACCTCATCTTCATATGAGGCTTCGGGGAGGAATGGATCAGATTCGAAGACCTTTCTGTCAGAATAAGCAAGCCTCGGATATCCTCCTCAGAGACTTCAAATCGCGCAAGAAGAATCCACCCACAGATGTTGAAACTCTCGTTGTGCAGAAGCTCTTTGATTTGTACCAGAACGATGACAACTTCAAAATGATCAAGTATCTGCATGTGATGTCAGTCAAGGAGGTTCCGATTAAAGAGACCTCCGACAGAGCCCTGTTACTGACCATCCCGAACATCGAAATGAAGGACTACCGGAATTTCCAGATCTCTCTTTGCCAGATCTTGGAAGCTGAGTTCAATTGTCACATATTCTTGCTTCAGCATCGTAGAATCCTTCCCAGGGAGAAGCCTGGAAAGAGGTTGCAAAAGCAGAAGCGCCCTAGAAGTCGGACAGTGGTGAGTTGCTGAACGAGTTTGTCTGTTTTTCGTCACTGACGGCATTTTATCGCAGCAAGCTGTTCATGAAGGCTATCTTGAAGATCTTGTCTGGCCTCATCGTGTTTCTGCAAAGTATGAGATACACGATGTTGGAATTGAGAAACCAACCCATCACTTCATGTTGGAGATCAATTCCAAACCAGATACAGAGAGCAAGCTGGAGGTATACAAGCAAGTGTATTCACATCTTACTGGCAAGACTTGCGTCTTTGAATATCTGGACTATACTGAGGGTACAGAACTGCAGCGCCAAATGTGTCCGAACATTTGGCCATGCGATGCATCGGCTTTTCCATCATACCGTGAGAAGTTGGGAAACCAAATGCAGGAGTTTTCTGAGATCAAACCAGCTCCCTTGTTCGCTGAAACATCCAATAATGAGCGCAATGCAATAGAAGTGAATCAGGAATAATGTAATGATGTGTAGAAATTAGCCTCAGGTACAGGATTTGAACGCGCGTTGAGCTACGTTCCTGACTCAGGAGTTGATAATGCATCCTCCATGATCACCTCTCAAAGGATCTTATTATTTCGTTTGCGCAGTTGTCATGCTCTTTTGCCAAGTATCTGTTGGTTGCTTCCATATAAAATAAAGAATCATGACAGGATTCCACTGTAACCGGATGCGACAGCTCAGATTGCAACCATGGACAGGGCCCATCGTCGAGTCGGAAGGGATGAATCTACCGTCCACCTTTGGGAATAGGGGTCGAAGCATTCCACCATGCTGATTTCGGAGCTTCCGACGATTCCTCCTATCCACGTTGCAATCAAATCATCCTTCTGCTGAAGGAACTGATCTCACCTGCGACATAGATATATCCGTTGAAGCATTCAGCTGCGAAGGCACTGCGTTTCTGATTGAGAGGAGGCTCAATTCTCCACTCCCTCTGAAACACATCGTTACTGACAGGCGAAGAAGACATGTTCAGCTTACAGTAGTCGGATCGAAGCTCTCCACGTCTGCCTTTTGTAACCCTCCTGACATGCCACCAATCGCGTAAATCCTGCCCGCGATCGCAACAGCCTGATTTGAAAGAATCTCACAGTCAAACATTATGATCATGACCTGGCCTCTTAGACCTGAAAGTTTGCTCTTGGCGTTGGCATTGGCGGCTCTGCCTTCCACGCACGTAGAACAGGATCGTAGCTGTGCATGGAATCCAGTTCTGTATCGAGATCGTCCCCTTCAACGTTAGAATAGCCTCCCATGACGTAGATTCTATCTCCAAAGCTGACTGCCGCACAGAACTGCTTTTCTATGGGCATGTCAGTATGGTTCTGCCAGAACTGGAAATCAGGTAGGAAGCTTTGCACACTTTTCAAGCAAACTTCCGTTGACTCCGTGTTGACCATGGCTTTCGGCATACCCGTTCCACCAAAGATAAAGATTTGATTATCATGCACAGCAGAAGCGAAGTTTCTTCTGGCAAATGGCATCATTTTTTCAACTTTCCAGGTCTCATCGTCAGAATAAGGTGAAAAACTCCGTACGGAATTAAGTGGCTGGTTGTTGCTAATTCCTCCAATCAGGTAGATTTTGTTGCCATGTCTGGCAGCAGCTGAATATGCACGGGGGCTTTCAAGTTTGCATGATGGAGTCCAATCCTTAGTTGTGACATCATACCTTTGTACAATCGAAAGCTCAAATTGCGTCGATCTTCCACCAATCACGTACAAATAAGGAATGTCCAACGGAACATAGTCTTTCGTCCCAGCTTTGTAATGTGTTTTTTTCTTCTTTGGCTTTGCAATGGACTTGATGATCTTGTCTTGCTCCTTCGCCTTTTCTACTCTCTTCTTGCGTTTGCCACCCCGGAGGCGTAAATGACCACACACCACATTCCTTACGATACCAAGATGTCCCATAAGAGCATGTGAACCTGTGATGTCGTTTCCGGGTTGGAAGAACATCCTTTGGTTGGAAGAACATCCGCTCATAGTCACAATCACAAGCGATAGAATCCACACACGATCAACGATCCCCATCATTTCTTGGATGTCGAATCAAGGATCCCGATCATGTGTCAAGACAGATTTGATAGGTCGAATGAGTCCAACCAACCCGAAATCCGGTCTTCTCTTCGCTACCCATCGCTGCGTGATCCTTGAGGCCGGCTTTCATCTTCATCCTCTCCTTCTCCATCTCATCTTCTCGCTCTTATCATCTTCTCCTCCTTCCTTCATTACGTTTCCTTCACGCTCTGCATACCGCACTCTAGCTAGGGATCAAGGGCTTCATCGCACAGTTCCGTACAGGGACCTCAAATGTTCCTTGTAGAGAACATTGAATCCGGTCTGCCATGCTCCCGGACACGTTTATTACAATTTTAAGACAGCTCGCTGCCATGGCCTGGCCTCCGCGCTTGGTGAGCAGGAACATCTATGCTCTGACCTGCGTCGGAACCATCTTCATGCTCCTCCCTTCTTCTTCCATGGGTCTTGTTCAGCACTCAACCATGCATCTTCGCCATCCTCAGCAAAGCCTTCAGAAGTACGCGGGGTCTTCTGGCGCATGGAACCAGGTGCAAGCGCCATACATGAACGAACTCGTGGAAGTCGATGCTGTTCAGCGCATTCGAGGAGGAGGAGGAGGGCTGGCAAAGAAACTGGGACCGAAAAATATGGGATTGGCGCTGATCTTTTTAAGTCTTTTGTACCTGCCAAAGGCCATGGCATCTTGCAATGCGCGGCTCATGCCTAAAACTGGAAAAATACAGCGTTTGGGATGCGGAGCAGGGTTGATGATCACGAACATAGCGACGATATGTGGACTGGGTCTGGTTCTGATGAATTCCCGACAGTTTGACCGCCATGGTCGATCGAAGTTCAAGATGAGAATGAATGGAACTCTGATCATGGTCTTCGGGATGCTCCTCATCATAACTCATGCAGGTATGGTGTGTTCAGGTCCTCTGATACCGCTCCACTCTTCCTCACCTTCTGCTTCAATCTTACACACGTGTTGCTGTGTGCTTCTGTGAGAGAGGTCTGCATGCACTGACGGCTCTTGTTTATCCAACAGAAGCAGCGAAGTTGAGTTTCTATTCTAGTTTCAACACGCAGCTCGGGCTGATTCTGGAGTGGTGGGGATTCGTTTCTCTGTTCTACAACTTCACTCCTCGCTTTGTTGCTCAGGTACTGACGTTCTACTTGTCATCTTCGCTCATGTTCGACCTGTGCCAGGTGCCTCGAGAGCTCAAGACCACTATGCGGAAGTTGATGGCGAAGATGGGATTCGGGTCAGGAAACGCTGCGAGCAAGGTTGATAATGAGACGAGACAGGTGATCTCTCGCTGTTTTGAATCTCAACTCAAATCTCTCGTTCTGATCGTTTGTTCAGAGGGAGTTGGAAAGGTTGAACCAGTGGGCTCAGGTGCAGCCTCCCCCCTCATAGGCCGTTGGCACCATGGAGTAGCTCTGAAGCGGAAGGCATTGAGTGATGGAGTGCAGTTATCACATGGTTGACTTTATCTTTCGATCCCTGCATACTGAGCCTGCAATCTCTCTACTTCTCTGCTCTCATTCAGCACCTCGTTCCTGAGTCCGTCCAATTTCTCCACCAGGCTGTTTATATGCGCTTGCGCAGCTTCAGCATAATTCTCGATCTGATTCACGGTGGGTGGTGGCAGTTGGATAGATTGTTGAAGTGAGCTAAGGCTGCGAGAAAGCATGTAAGCCTCACAACATAGCACCGACCTCACTGCTACCTTGGAACGTCCATCTTGCTGCAGGCGGAGAAACTACCATACTCCTCCTGGGAGTCTGTCTGAACGTTCTTGATCACAAGTTCCAAAGACTTCATGGTTGATCGAGAATTCTCCTTGAAGAGAAAACGATAATCCAGCGAGTGAGTCGAGGCGTTCTTAGTGTAACTCGTGGACAGCAACCCAAACACAGGCTGAGTCCCTTCTGGGAGCAGGACTTTGATTTCAGGAGACGATTCGATTTGTCTCTGCACGTACTGCATGTAGGAGATCACAGACATGAGAGGGAAAGCGAAACCAGCACCATCTCTCTCGATGAAGGGCGAAGGGGGGCGTTCGATCGAAAGGAGAACCACCCTATCAGCCGTTGCTTCTGTCTCTCACAAGCTCTGAGAAGAGGATCAACAAGATTCCTTGTCCTCCTCCACCAAATCAAGCATGTGACATACCTTGAGATCGCATGACCGTTCACATTCCCATGGCCATCGAAAAAGTTGCAGACATCGAAAACCTTGCAGAGGCAATCAGACTCGTGGAGGGACCTCGCACCTCACCTGCATGTCTATGGAAGCCACTAGCTCAAGCTTTGAGCCGATATCTGTGACGAGACTCTTCTTCTCTCGCGTGACGGACCCGAATATCAACCCAGAAGCATCTCCTGCTTCTCGGTCAACTCATACCACGCAAGAGCAACAGTCAGTACCCTTAGACGCCAAGACTTGCGCGAATGCCATCGACAGACAGACGCCAGTTGTAGACAACGTGACAAGCTGACGAGGCTCCATGCTCGCCATATCAGCGCCTCCTCTTCAAACTCTCCTTCCTCCCCTCATCTCGCTCACCAGCACCGCCATTCCCTATCGGCTCCAACCAGATAACCGTCCAATAACGTTCTTGGATAGAAATCCGGGCCGCTACCCGACCACGGACTGATCGGACACTGGCGGCGGCGCTGGCGCGAGTGGCACTGCTGACTCACTGCGACACCGGTGAGCCTCACCCGGTGGCACTGTGACTGACTGACACACTGACGGGGCGGGGTGACTCGAGTAATCGGACGGCGGCGGCGCGCCCCGACTCGAGCAGGAGTCGAGTCGGGTCGGAGGGTGTCGGTGACCGCTGGGGCGGGATGGTCGAGACGCGAGGAGCCGGCGGGGAGCTTGTAGGGTGCGGGTGCCCCGCGGGTACAGAGGCAGGGAAGAGCTTCGCAGACTGGAATAAGTACGCGGGAGTCGTATACGCCAGCCCCTACATGTCGTACTCGTACATGTCCGAGGAGCTCAGCGGCTCGTGCTGGAGTCGCTAGCGACAGACATGGCCAGACTGATACAGGACGCCGGGGAGCTAGAGGGCCTGGTCAACAGCAGCAAGCCGATCCCTTACATGGTGTTGCCGCAGCAGTCGTACTGGTACTGGTACTACCCGTCGTATATGCAGGACATAGCGGCGATATCCAACTACACGATGAGAGGAGGGACGCTGGTGACGATGGGCGACGGGGTACAGGACCTGCTGGCGCAGGCCTTCGGGATAGCAAGGCCGGCGCTGTCTTGGACTACGTCGGAAGCTCGGCTCAATAACGCAAGCGCAGCAGGGTCGGCGTTCGAGGGGGGCCCGAGCTCGCTGTCGTACTGGTACGCTGTACGCTGGCCACTGTCGGGGCTGCCGCCGGGTGCAAGGAGCATGTACGACGACGGGTGGTACTCGTCGGCGGTAGTGATGAGGGTAGGCAGGGGTCAGGTAGTGTGGCTGGCGTACGACGACGGGCTGGCGTCGACGGGGGCGTGGCAGGAGGTACTGAGGCGGGCGGTAGAGGCCGGGGGCCCATGCGTGTCATGCGGGGCGGGGACGTACCGGAGCGAGTCGGAGCAGAGCTGCACGGCGTGTCCAGGGAACTCGACGTCAGAAATCGGGTCGAGGTCCGTGGAGGAGTGCGAGTGCAAGGCGGGCTACTACGGAGAGTCTCGGAGGAACGGAGGGAAGGGTTGCCAGGCGTGTCCGCCGGGCGCCTACTCCCCGAGGGGAAGCCGCAACGCTAGCAGCTGCCGATGCTCGGCAGGGACGACGTGGTCAGGGAGTGTCAACGGGTCGGCGCTGGCATGCCTGTGTCCGGATAATCACTACGGCCCGGTGTAGCATAGCACGGGGATCGACGTGACCTTGTATCCTGCGACGTCGGACGACAACATGATCAGCTTCAGAGACGCCGGGGGCAGGACTTGGCTACAGACAGAGCTGGCAGAGTCGATCGACACAAGGAGGCTGCAGGGCTACGCTTCGAGTCCATCATCATCATCCTTTAATGTTTATTTTCGAGCCGAGGACGACCTAGGAGTCTTCGACATCTGGTCGGACTCCGGGACGTACGTGAACCTCCCTCAGGGCGTGCTGTACCTGCCACGCGGACGAGGAGCCGGGCTGAAGCGCCTCTTCCTGGACTCATACCCATACCAGTATTCGTCCTTCCATGGAGTGTACGGGAGCGTCGCGGTCCAGGCCAGGCGAGTCTGCGTAGCCTGTTCTGAGGGGACGTACTCACTAGCAGGAGACTCGAGCTGTAGGCCTTGCCCGGGTAACTCTACTGCTCTACGTGACCTCACAGGGTCTAACGCGACGGGCTGCGTCTGCAAGCTAGGCTACCGCGAAGACCGGTTGGGAGGGAAGCTGAGCTGTGTAGCGTGTCCGGCGGGGGCGCGAGCAGGAGTCGGGTCGGAGGAGTGTCGGTGCTGGGGCGGGATGGTCGAGACGCGAGGAGCCGGCGGGGAGCTTGTAGGGTGCGGGTGCCCCGCGGGTACAGAGGCAGGGAAGAGCTTCGCAAACTGGAATAAGTACGCGGGAGTCGTATACGCCAGCCCCTACATGTCGTACTCGTACATGTCCGAGGAGCTCAGCGGCTCGTGCTGGAGTCGCTAGCGACAGACATGGCCAGACTGATACAGGACGCCGGGGAGCTAGAGGGCCTGGTCAACAGCAGCAAGCCGATCCCTTACATGGTGTTGCCGCAGCAGTCGTACTGGTACTGGTACTACCCGTCGTATATGCAGGACATAGCGGCGATATCCAACTACACGATGAGAGGAGGGACGCTGGTGACGATGGGCGACGGGGTACAGGACCTGCTGGCGCAGGCCTTCGGGATAGCAAGGCCGGCGCTGTCTTGGACTACGTCGGAAGCTCGGCTCAATAACGCAAGCGCAGCAGGGTCGGCGTTCGAGGGGGGCCCGAGCTCGCTGTCGTACTGGTACGCTGTACGCTGGCCACTGTCGGGGCTGCCGCCGGGTGCAAGGAGCATGTACGACGACGGGTGGTACTCGTCGGCGGTAGTGATGAGGGTAGGCAGGGGTCAGGTAGTGTGGCTGGCGTACGACGACGGGCTGGCGTCGACGGGGGCGTGGCAGGAGGTACTGAGGCGGGCGGTAGAGGCCGGGGGCCCATGCGTGTCATGCGGGGCGGGGACGTACCGGAGCGAGTCGGAGCAGAGCTGCACGGCGTGTCCAGGGAACTCGACGTCAGAAATCGGGTCGAGGTCCGTGGAGGAGTGCGAGTGCAAGGCGGGCTACTACGGAGAGTCTCGGAGGAACGGAGGGAAGGGTTGCCAGGCGTGTCCGCCGGGCGCCTACTCCCCGAGGGGAAGCCGCAACGCTAGCAGCTGCCGATGCTCGGCAGGGACGACGTGGTCAGGGAGTTCGAGGGGGGCCCGAGCTCGCTGTCGTACTGGTACGCTGTACGCTGGCCACTGTCGGGGCTGCCGCCGGGTGCAAGGAGCATGTACGACGACGGGTGGTACTCGTCGGCGGTAGTGATGAGGGTAGGCAGGGGTCAGGTAGTGTGGCTGGCGTACGACGACGGGCTGGCGTCGACGGGGGCGTGGCAGGAGGTACTGAGGCGAAGTGTTTTGCTTTCATCTCCTTGTCGAGACTGTCGATGGGTTCGTCAGTTCTCACTTCTTTCATGGTTTTATCCTACGTTCTTGGAAATTCTTAGAGAATGTGGTGCTGATGATGAAAAACTTGGGGCCTCGATACGCCGCTAATGCCACGTTCAATTGTACACAGCGATTTTAAATGCCCGTGCAAAACAACCTAAATTTACCCCTTGCGCTAACGTCCGGCCTCAGTCCCTTGCAACCCAATCACAATGCACAGCCCTCTGGACACGTGTCCTCCTAACCCCTTCTTCACTGCCTGACCCTCAGGCTCGTCAATTCCTTAATTCCAGACCTATGTCAAAACCCACTTCCATCTCGCTGAGCTTCGTCCACCGATCAGACGCAATACCCTGAACTTCTCGCCGCGTCTCCAAGAACGTATCCGAGTTCTAACATATCTCGGGTTTACTACTCTCCTGATTGTCCTCGTACTGATTTTAACTTAACTCGAGGAAGAGTCACGTTGCAGGGGGGGGTCATTTATTGCAGGGGTGGTCATTTGTGAACTTACATGCAAGTCCTCCCTACAAATGACAGGGTCACGTGGGCTGTTGCCGCAGTCTCAGCAGGCAGAAGCTCCAGCACTACTACGGGCCGCACGCATGCAGGGAGCGGTGGTCGCCTCGCTCTTGCGGAGGAGGCGATATCGACGAAAAGATGAAGAGATCAAAGATGAAGAAATAGACGCCCTGATCAATGATCCTTTACAGGCTCTGGTGGATGACTATCGTGATGTCGAAAACGTACTTCGAGACACTGAGATAGAAAAACTGTTTGGCTTGGAAAGTCGATCGGAGCCTGTCATGCGGCGTGAGATCCAAGTAGATGGATTCCTCTCGAAAGTTCGAGAAAGGATTGCTCGCTCTTCATCGTATAAGAGATTGATGGGAACGACACTCTTTTTCGTTGTGTACTTGTTGCTCTTGTTTACCCAACGGGATATTTACTCCTCATACATGATCGAGAGTTCAGGGATCAGTCTTGCTCTCAAAGACTTGTCTGACTTGGGCTCGGGAGGATACTTGAACTCAGGTACCGGCTCCACAGCATTCCTGAGCTCCAACGCAGATTTCTACTCATGGTACGTTTTCTGCAATTGCGCCTTTAGTTCGATTCTTTATTGTGCTTCTACAGAATATCCAGGCTTCGGTCGGTTTGGTTGCGCAAAAGATTGCGGAGATTACAACAACGTTACCACACTGACCATAAAACTTGAAGACATGATCGATGCAAGTCAGACTGAGCTTGGCTTTTCGTTGACAAGAACAAGCCTCGATACAGACCCAGCAAGAGTGACGTATTCGTATAATGTTTACAGCTATACGATGGGTGAATTCATATTTGAGAACGACATAAAAAATAATTCTCAAATTTCCTTCGAGGTGCCAGATGGCAAGCTCACGTTGGTGCTTTATCAGACGACGTCAGCAGAGTCTGTCGTGGATGACCAGGCGGTTATCACACTCTTTGGAGTGACAGCAGGGTAAGCTAAGTATGTTGGAAATGAATATCTGTTGACTACATTGTTGCAGATCGTTCTCAAGCCTTGTACGACAACAGAACAATATGAAATATGGAAATCCAAGGGAAATACTCAAAACAGCCGTTTTTCAAACTCTCTCCCTCAAAACTCTCTGTCAAACTCCTGACGATGCGCGTCAACAATTTTGCACAAACTTCAATCCACAGGGTGTGTGAAATCTGCAGAAAGAATTCAAAGCTCTGACGTTGACCTACAGACATAGGATACACAGGCTTGCAGCAGCCCATCACTCAGGTGTTCTTCTCACGTGCGCTATTGCTCTGACGCAGGGTCTGATTGATGGTTCAGATTGGCTACTGCGCAATGTTGCCAAAGGCCGGAGATCCGTATATCAAGGAAAACAAAGACAAAATCATCAATGCTGGAACATCATGTGATATTTCATCCGCTGGTGTTAGAACAAAAGAAGCAAACTCAAAGAGACTGAGCTTGAACAACAAGCTGGATCTCAGTCTTCACTCGACGCCCCTCAGAAAGCAACAACAGATGAAAGAAGCAAGAAACACGACGATCCTCACAAGGCCATCTCAAAAGACAAGCATGCGTCCAGCTGCTCTCAGGGGTATATCCGACTGTTCTGCCAATGCAAAGGTGTTCAACAATGACTCGGGCTATTTTAGTTTCATCTATCAATCCGCTGCTGTTACTTTGAATTGTCATTGGATCATATCTGAAAATCACTTTTCATTCATTCAATGTTGGAACCAAGAACGGTCAAACCAACCAATGCGATCGAGACAAGGTCCAAATTCTTGATTGCGAAGATAAAACTTGTACCGGGGGTAATACTTTGGGTCCAATTTGCGGATTGATTGAATCCCAATCATTCACAACATCATCATCGGCAAGTACTGTAGAAATCTATTTATCCTCTGAAAGCAACTTGGCTTATGTGGGATTTTGTATCAGTTGGGGAACTGAAGCAACATGTCCATATTTTCCTTCAGCTCCTCCTACTCCCACTGTCAAAATTTTGGAAGAAGCAACCATGAAGCCAGCTGGTTATGATCAGCAACTAGTATCATACATTGCTACGCAGATCTACAGCAAAACAGGGGTAACGTATATGCGGTACGCTTTCACTGCAACACTAAACGAATATCCTGTTTGTGATTGCTCTGACTGGTCAAGCGAGGCATCACGTCCCAACCTGGTGACCAACGGGTCCGTCTTATTGTTTTACTTGGGAACGAACAGGAATGTGGCTCAGATGTATCTTCGCTTGACGGCATGCTTTAGGTATCAAGATATCACTCTTCCTAGTCCCAACTATGACAGCTACTCAAACATTTTTATGCCGGCACCGAAAATCACTTTCTCGCTTCCAATCGGATCCGATTCTTGCAATGGGAAAAATTCAACGCAGGAATGGAGGAGTGTTGTTCAACAATTCCTCAACTCTTCGATTTCCTATGCGCAGCAAATAGTTTCTACCAACATCGTTCCAGCAATAGAACCAAAGGGTTCGTGGAAGGCGACAGCTGGGGTCATTGTTGGCTCTACAGTCAAGTCGTCAGCACTCGTCAACCTTCTGTTGGATTCCCGAGATAGTATCAAGTCTAGCTCCTCGCAACAATGTCCTCCCGCAGTACCAGATGCTCAATGGGTGATCAGCGTCGATACTCAGATCACGAAAAGAACAAGAGGTGAGTTCATTGCATGCTACGTATAGACATGACGATTCCTTGCGCGCAGATCAGACTTGTCTCTCGCACTTCGATTGCGATGTCAATTTGTTCTGCTCAAAACCTCCTCAGCCTGACATGTTGGGAACCTGCAAACTTTGCAGCTTTTGCAAGGTGGACAAGTTGGACGCCATTGGTGACAGATGCCCCGTCATCAAGTGTCCAACTTCCGGCGGATTTCCGCAATGCTTGGATGCACCAAAACTCGTTGTTGGAGCTCAGTGTCCGAGCGACTACAGCTTTGAGCTGTGGCGCTACAGGAGTAAAAGTGATGGACCTCCGCAAGTTGTTCCTTCTTTCAAGCCAAAGAATCGCGAGATCACTCCCTACAACCGGATCATCGGGGCCATCGTGGTATCACAAAGCAGAATGAAGTCCAAGGAATGCTCTTCCAGCAACAATGAATTCATCAAAGACTACTTGAATGCTCTCAAAGGTATTCTCAATTGCCCCTCGCAAGAGTTCGATCCCACACCCTTTGGATATGATCCTTCTTTCATGTCCTTCAGCCCATATTACAACCCCAGAATCCCACCAGAAAAATTCTATGCTCCTTCTGAACGACATGTGATATATTCGCAAACTGGATCATCGAAGCTATCCTTCCCCATCGGTTTTTTTCCGCACAAATACGATTCAAACTATTTCGACAAGGACAACGATGGTTTTATATCGGAAGAAGAAGCAGCTAAGACGATCAGCGACTTCACTGCAGCATTAAAAGACGCCAAGGTCATCATCCCCTCAGAAGCGGACACCTTCAAGCTATTCTTCGACGAGCGACTGACACAGAAACTGGCTCAGACCATGATTCGGTTCATGCAGGATGGTTCTTTTATCGATTCCAAGACGGCTGAAGTTCGGGTCGAATTTTTGACGTACAACGCTCCGAAAAATATTTTTGCGATCTATGAATTCACCTTCCAATGGCTTGAGACTGGACGGATACCTTGGAATGACAAAGTGAACTCTTTTTCTGTAGATTTCTTTGCAAACTCCTCCTTGGGAGCGCTTCAGATCTTTTTGTTTACAGTAATTGTTATCATTCTTGTCATTAACTGCTTCTTTGAAGCTGCAGACCTGATTGGTGAGATACGTCAGTACAACCTAACGACATACCTGTCTCATCCCTTCAATTGGGTCGATTGGACTCACTTGCTCTTCATGTGGGGAACAGTAATCACGTGCATTATTCATTATCAGGATTGTCGAAATTTCCGCATGAAGACAAATTACCCTATCCTTTACTATGGCCCGCAGTATGAATATCCTCGGAGGGCAGAAATCTCAGGGGTCCAAATAGGAACAAGTTTTGAGCTTCCCTTGGTGAAATCGGCAACCGCACAGGCCAGACATTTTCGAACGAACAATCAAGTAGAGGCAGAATTTCTTCAGCTGGTGAAGCAAGGAAAGCAGATATCAGACTCTATGAGTGTGTACTCCTTCTTCGCTGGCGTGAGTATCGTCTTGTTTGTCTTTCGGATGCTCAAGGGTCTTGACTTCCAAGAGCGGATGGGTCTAGTCACCAGGACGATAGCGAGAGCTGCCGGAGATCTCTGGCACTTCATCCTCCTTTTCGGAATCGTTCTGTTCGGGTATGCAGTCGTTGGTAACATGTTGTTTGGTCATCAATATGAGGTGAAAACTTGCACTTGATAGGATGACATTGAATCGTTGAAACCCAGGGAATGAAAGATCTCAGTACTTCAATCCTCACTCTTCTTATTTTCTTGCTCAGTCTGGACACAACGCAATTCTACGCTCCTGTACGTGATGAATGTCATCCCATTCATCCCAAAACCCTTCTCCTCCTCCTTTTCCTCCACCTCTGATCTCTCTCTCTCTGTCTGTCTCTCACTCTCACTCTCTCTCCCTCTCTCCCTCTCTCCCTCTCTTTGTCTCTCTCTCTCAGTCTCAGTCTCTATCTCTCTCTCTCTCAGTCTCAGTCTCTATCTCTCTCTCTCTTTGTCTCTCTCTTTGTCTCTCTCTCTGTCTCTCTCTTTGTCTCTCTCTCTGTCTCTCTGTCACTCTTTTCTATCAGTATGATACCATCTTGAGAAGTTTGGCTGACTTTGATGCCAGATGTCACATGCTGCTTCGGATGGTGCCTTTCATATCTTTCTTTGGTCTTACTTGTTCATCGCATTCTTTATTCTTCTCAACATCTTCCTGGCTATCCTCGTCGATGCGTATGCGAAAGTCAAAGAAGAGACGGAAGGCACCACAGGGTTGATTGGCGAGTTGATGCAGGTCCTGTGGCATGGGGCCAGAAAGGTCTTGATGATGAAGAACTTCGTGTCGGATCAGAGGTTGGAAGAAGCTCTGGCCAAAGATCGAGAGAAGATGCGAACAAGGGAGAGCCGACGGCGATCCATCGAGAGAGATCTAGCAAAGGAGAAACTGATCTTGCTGTCTGGTGGGATATCAATCGACAGCTATGATGTCGGTCTGCTGGTGAGAAAAACTCTCCAATCTGAGGGTCTTGCAAGAATTGAGGAGGGGCAAGACGTAGAGGAAGGAGGCGAAGACAGCACGATGCTATCAGAAGAAGAGATACTTGCTTCCGTTGACTTGATGAATCGATACGGGACTGATCCCAGCCAGATAGCAGATCGCCGTCGGCAAGAGAAGATGGAGCTGTACGAGATGCAAAGCATCCGAAGGCAGATCGCGATGCAGCTGAGCCAGAACAGAATTCTTAATATTCAGAAGGAGATTTTGGAACGAACGAATGGTATGGGCAACAACCAAGCCGCCCAAGAGATCAGTTCGCCAACGGCTAAAGAATGGAAAACTGACAAACAAGCGAAAGAAGTTGGGATACTTCAAGTCAGACTCCTCAGAGCAACCAAACTTCCTCGAATGGATATGATCACAGGCTGCGACCCCTACTGCATGCTGTTTGTAAACTCATGCATCGGTTTGTCGACTTTTGCATCTGAGGTTTCGCGCAAGAATGTGAATCCGGAGTGGGACGAAGTATTTGAATGGACAATGACTTCTCAAACAAAAGTTCTAAGCATGACTCTGTGGGACAAAGATGAAGTAAGAATTTGCTATTCTTGTAACTTAGCTTCGCTTCCCCCCAAGGATGACCTGAGATTTGATTTGATGGTGCAGGTGACCAGCGATGATCTCATCGGATCAGCACAAGTCAATTTGTCTGAGATTCCTTTCGGCGAAGCGCATGAGTTGTCCCTGCCTTTGCACAATCAGAAACTGTTTGCCAAACTTGAGGAGTCCCGTCTGATCGTTGCGATTCAGAAGTTCCATATGTCACAAACTGACCAAAAACGTGACGAGGCGACGATGTGGAATCAAGCAGTTGCGTCGCAAGGGCAGGCGTAGAATTTATTTCAGTGCTAGACTAGTTCAATAGCCCTAAACATTCGAATCGATTCATCTGAACTCAAGAATCCATTTCTCGGTTGTGTTGGATATGCCGAGTCCTGTTTGTGCTCTGTGCGAAGAGGAGTCAGCATTGCTGCGAAGATGAAGATGTTTCTTTCTGACCCTCCGGCTTCTGTGTGTCCGTCCACCCTGACCCTCGCATGTCATGCAACTATCAGGCACTGAAACTTTGAGGTTACTTGACTTTGAGGGAGCACAAGTCAGACGACGACTTGAATCCAAACTAACTGTGACGGTATAGCGTATCATCCCTCATCAGCGGCCTGATGATATTAAAGCGCCTCCCCGTCCCTTCCTGCTGATCCCTCTAAGAGTTCCGAGTGATTGCCCGACACTACCAGGCCTTGGGTGGTAAGCCCTGGGGTGGTAGGGGGTGGTTTGGAGGGTCCAAGGGCCAGGGGGTCTGATCTGACAACTGCTAGTAACAACGGAATACTGCTTCCTGGTGTTGGTGGGCCCCTAGCATGACCAGGCAAGCCCGAGGCAACAGAGGCGGCTGAGAGAAGCATGCAGAGGTTTTGTGAGAGTAGACGAAGTGAGCAAGCCTGATGCAAGTTGCTTCATCTTTTTAGGACAGGCAGCGGCTCACGGACGGTGGAAACGTCAGCTCCACAACGCATAACTGGTACCAATGCCGACAAATCGAAGCAAGACAAGAAGACAGGTTGTGTGCTCGACTTGAGCATGACAAGCGGCTGTGCGATGATATTTTGCACAATGAAAGGTTGAAGGTTGACATGGGCGAAACTTCCCAGGTCTTGGACTCATCGGCAAGGACCAGAGAGTCCTCGCACGATGAAGGAGGGAGACACGAGAGCATCCCTCATCCGAAAAGAAGCCATGTGCAGGAAGAGGCTGAAGACATGCCCTCTTGCGTTCGCATTTGCGGTGCTATGCTGCAGAGCTGCGAAAGTTTTCTAGCTTTCTCCAACCTCACAATGGCCTTCCTGTCTGACAACAAAATTCATTTCATAGAGCCTCTGGCTTCCTTGCCAAATCTGAGGCTTCTTGACCTTAGCTCGAATATGGTGCAATTTAGTGCTGGTCATCACAGCGACTTGTTTTTCCCGAGATTAAGCGTTTTATTCTTGCACAACAACCTTGTAAGAAAGTTACCAGATGTCCAAAGTTTTGAGAGAGCAAAACTTATGCGAGTGCTCACCATGTTTGGAAATCCCATAGAAGAAGGGAAGGTGGACCCGCTGGAATGTTTCAATCGTTTTCCGTCTCTCCTGCTAGTCGACAACCATGTCAGAGCAGATCACTTCAAGAAACATGACTTGCATTTGGCACCAGTCAATTCAAAGAAAGTGCTCAGGACATTCTTGAGAAGAAGGTTCAAATCTCGATTGCAAAGGAAAGTCGATCATCTGTTTGAAATTTTCAGGGACCCAAGTAGAAACATTCACGACTTCGAACACTTTCAAGACATTCTGTCTCAAGTCCATCGCATATACTCCAACTCGACGCCTTACAATATCATCAGTCGAGTTGCCATGGGGCATTCAGCAAGGACGAAATTCAGAATGCTGTACAGTCACTATCTCATGCCCACCATCACTCTTCAACGATGGCTCTTGTCTGCTTACTTGCGGCGTCTTGTGCACAGCTTGCTCTCCGGAGGGATAATGGATGACCAGAACATCGCCAAGAAGCTTGCAAAGTTGCCCCTGTCTGATGATGACTTGTTGCTCCGAAGCTCAAACCTGACCATTTTCTTTCATCCCAAGTATGCTGATGTGATTGAGCAGTTAGCGGCCAAATGGGGAAGCATGCAGAGCTCCTCTGATTCACCCATCTTGTACTTGTCCAACATTTTCAGCTTCCAACGTGAACGACGTGGCGGAGGAAATGAGTTGTTTCGAGCTGTGCTGAGAATGCGTCGAAGAGCAAGAACTCTGCAAGAGGCGAGTCACCTTGCGCGATTTCCAGTGAGACGATTCCGCTTGGGAAGACTGACGCATGTTGACACCAAAACAAGAACCATTTTCCTTCAACATTTCGAACATCATCACTTTGATGTATTGCCAAGCTCTCGTTCTCAACACATCTCTCATCGCTTCTTGGTCGTCCTGAAGTTCAAAGATGAGGCGTCCAGGAATCATTTCATCAACTATGTCACTTATCTCAACAGGACCATCAACAGCTCAAGTCTATCATCGATTGGTTCAGTCCACTTTCTTCTCGGTGAAAGTGTGTTGAGAGTCCATGCTGCTTGTTGCGTTCAAGCGACAGCGAGAAGATGGCTAGAGTATCGCTCAAAGAAGAGAAGCTTGAAGAAAGCCGTCCTTCTTCTTCGAAGCACGAGATCCATTCAACACTGGTGGAGATGGACCTGTACTCGTCTGCGTACTGAAGCTCTGGCTTGTCTGGCAAAAGCTCTGACAGACAACGGGACTTCGACTACGTTGTATTGCATTTCAAACAACTTGAAGCCAAAGTTGTTGTCTCATGACAGAAGCGTCTCCTTTCTTCCGGAATCAAAGATTTCATTTGTTTTTGATGAGAACGAAGATGTTCAGGTCTTACAACCAGAGCTCGCCTCGTCAGATGGTCGAAGAGTTCTTCCCTCTTGGGTGGGTCTACAAGTCAGACTAATATCCTGGTTGCCACATGAAGCAAGTCTAAAGAGTCTGCTGACGCAAGGGACCCAGATCGACATAGCAGAAGCTGAGAGCTTGAAAGATGAAGAAGATCATGCCTTACGGTTTCCGAATCGAAGGTTGTTTGGTTCAATTCCTGTTTTGAAGTTTCACTTCAAATCGAACAACCAAGCTCGGATCAGAACTACTCTTCTTTTCATCAAGACTTGGTCTGCGCAGAAAAGAGATCCGATAACGTTGATGAAAGCGACAGATTGCCAGCAGCATCTTATGGCTGCTCTCATTCAGTCTGTGTATAGAGGTCACTTGAGCAGAGCGAGATGTCACAGGCTGAGGAATGTTCGTGATGTTTGGAAGATCGATCGTGTTGTGAGTAGAAGGAAGTTTGTTGAGTTAGAAAAAGCAGTAGAAAGCCAGCGAGTGAGGAAAGGGCAAGTCTCTCCTCCCCCTCCCTCTCTTGCTCCTCGCATAGCGAGGGAAGAAATGGGCTTGACGGGAATGACAGCGTTAGATATGACACGTGGCAGCTTGAAGGGCGACATGAAGAGGGCAAAGCAGTCGTTAGTGATCTCTTCAAAGTTGGACAAGATTGTTGCAGGCAAGCTGCAGGAAGAGAAGCTGATTCGCAGCAGGCCGGATATGAAGTTCCATCCCTCTTCTCAGTCTCGAATCTTCTCGTCCCAGTCTCGAATCTTCTCTTCCAACCTGGAGCTGTTCAACCTGAGCAAGCTCGAGGCGTCAGTTGTGGTCAGCCTCAAGGAGGTTGAGCTTCAGCAGGTGAGAAACAGAATCAAGACCAGCAAACAAGTGCATCAGAACGTCATGGAGACGGCGAGCGAGTATAGAAGGTGATGTTATCCTCCAGTCTTTCTTGACTGAAATGTCGTCTCAGTTCTTACCTTGAAAAATGCAAGCATGACCGCAAGGTGCAACGAGAACGCGCAGAGGTCATGAAGAGCATCAACAGCCAACCCCCAACTATTCCTGCAGCCTCCAAGTCAAGGAGCCGGATCAGCAGAAACCTGTCACTGAACTTGACGAACGCGATAAGAGCCATCGGTCAGTTGCCGACCATCAACACAACAGAGAGTGTGCAGGAGGGAGAGAGGTCTCCGTCAAGACAGTCTACGGAGCTCCAGAAGGAGAAGAGTGAGTCGCTCGTCCCGAGAACGATCCAACAGGCATGATGTAACTTGTTTGCAGGCCGTCAACGAGTAGATATCTTGCTACAGAGGAGGAGAAGCGTTGAGAGGCAGAAAGAGGCGTATGAGACCCTGAAGCATTCAAGAGAGCTGGTGAGAAAGAAGATGGACCAGTCAGCAAAGAAGAGGGAGAGACCGAGCTCAACCGACGTCATAAAGTACATGGACTACCCGTGGGATCTCACGAGCATGTCATCACAAAACGTTCAACAGTTTCGTTCTGCAGGAATCAGCAGAAATCCGAGCCCTTGGCAGTCTGATATGTACTTTCTTGATCAATGAAGCACTTGCTGAAGTCAACAACTTATGTCGAGCCCAATGATGCATAAAAAACAATCTTTCATTTCAAAATTCACATGGAACATACACGATTACGTGAACAGGATATCATTGCTGCTGATTCCACATAAGTCGATACTGTTGTAAGAGGAGCAGATCTCAACTATCACAATCCCTTTCTCTCGATCTCTCTCACCTGAAATCTCTCAGTGACTCAGTCAGACAAGACTGAGGAAGCTCACCAAGTGTGATCCCTTTGCCAGCGCTATGTCGGCGGCTTCTTCGACGTCGAAACCTTTCTTGTCTTTGAAGACAGCTTCCATCTGCTCAATGTGCGCTCGCCTTGCCTCCATCACCTGCCACACTTGAGCCACCAACAACGCCATCACCAGCCGAAGCAGCCACAATGTCATCATCATCATCATCATCATCATCATCATCATGACAATCATCATCATCATCATGACAATCATCATCATCATCATCATCATGACAATCAACATCATCATCATCATCATCATCATCATCATCATCATCATCATCATGACAATCATCATCATCATCATGACAATCATCATCATCATCATCATCATGACAATCAACATCATCATCATCATCATCATCATCATCATCATCATCATCATCATCATCATCATCATCATCAGCATGGTCGTCGTCACCGTCATCGTCATCGTCAAATTCATCATTAACTCTATTGTTATCCTTTAAATCATTGTTTTCTTCATCATGATCGTCTGCTCTTGCACTTTTTCTTCCTCATCCTCATCGTCCTCTTCATCATCAGCATCAAGCATTCTCCCGTCACCTTCTGCATGCCTTCAGCATTTCTCAGTGATCTTCCACGACCATGGCTATCGATATCAGGAATGTCCAAGAGCTCATTGCTGACGATCGAGCTGTCCACCTTCAACCTTCTCTGGGCAGGCGTGACAAATCCGTTGGGCAGCCCTTGCCTCCTTCATGCGTCTGACTGCCTGCACGAGAAATCAACTGACAAGTTTGCGTGTCCTGATCTTACCTCCTGGTGATTCTGAACTGCCGCTGCTGCTGCTATTGTTGAAGAGAGATAGCTTCTCTTTGACCGAGCTTGACTCAGGCTTCGATTCCTTCGTCGTTCTGCTGGCACTTGCTCTCGAAAGAAGGGCCTGCTCATCCCATGTAGACTCGTCACTCTCATCTGTTGCTGCTCGTCGACGAGCAAGAATCGATGCGAGATCTGTCATCCGTCAAGTTTGATCTCAATTTTCAATCTACAAAGATAGTCGTGAGTATGCAGGAGGATAGTGATATTTCGCAGCTCTTTCGTCTCCTTGGTCCCACCATCTATCTTCCTCCTTAGTCTTACTCTTGCACGAAGACGAATGATTCTTGTCAACGTGATGTACTTCCGTGCCTTTGCTGCATTACAGCACGCTCATGCTGAGGAATTCAGCTTGAACAAACCTGGTACATCTCATGCCTATGTCAAACTTCATCTGGTGATTCATGATGCTAGCAACATCTTTCTTCTCGTCAAAGGGCTCGTCCCTTCCTCTCCCTCTTCTCCTTTTCAATCAGACGTCTCAAGCCCAGATGTCGCCTATCAAGGTGTTCCAGTGTCACAGTCGCTCATCCTGACTTTCTCTCACGAGGTTTTCTCCATTATCACTCTCTGTCTCTGCTGCGACGTTCTACCTGTCCTGCAACCTCCATGGTGGACTCCGTTCGGTTACCTTCCACCTCTCGTCCTCTCCCTCCCGTCAGCGTCTCCGTCCCGTCGCTTTCCCCTCCCTCCTTCCGCTTCGAGTCGGACGATTCCTAGTTCGCACAGGAGGGCGGTGGATTCAAGTGAGGTGGGGTCCCATATAATCGAACATGAGGGGTGGTGAAGGTGACTTCTAATATCCCATGGCACGATTGAAGGGCGTCTCGTGTGAGACGCCCTTCAACTTCAACGACCCTCTGCCATGACATGCTACCCACGGCTCTGCTGCCATCGTCCTTCTCCACCCCTGCCTGCTTCCTCTTCGTAGAACATACGAACACGCCATGATCTCGCTCTCAACTTCCAGCATCCTCGCACAGCCTCGGCATCTCCGCCAGGCAAGGAGATTCTCCGACGCGGCTTCGGGGTCTGCAGCTGCAGCGTGCAACTTCCCTGGCTTCAGGGAAGTTGCTCAAATCAAATATGAGAATAAGACAGCACGGCAGCGAGCTGATGAGCTATTACTCGGACAGGAACGAACTTGTCAGCATCCTGTCGACCCAGAGCGAAGACGAGGAGACGAAATTAGAGTTCAAGAACGAGCTCATGACAGTAATGAAGGCCTCCTTCCGCTCTAATGCTGATCCCCCGTTAGGTCGAGGAAAGAATTAAAGTTGCAGTGCCCGGCTGGGCCGCCTCGAACGACTCAGCAGCCAATCCCGACTCCCGTCAACCCGGGCCCGGGCTGCCTCGACGGCACTGAGGCATGCCCGTACAGTCACTGAGTCATACAGGAGGAGGAGGAGGAACTTCCGAGTCGCCGCCAGCTTGCTCATCCGAGTGCCGGGACTGAGCCTCGGAGGCTGAGTGGTTGGCATGCCCTGCTGGTTCCATCCCCTCCCCATCTGAGTGCGGAGCTACAAGCTCGTCCTCCCCATCCTCTGCAGTCAACAAGCAGTGGGTGAGGTCCGACAAGGGAGCAAGAGGTGCCGCACCTGATCCGATGTTGAGCTCGGACTCCAGGATGTGCAGCCTCCAGTTCAGCGACCCGACCTCGTCAGCCTGCTCGCCGCCCTCACTGCCCAGCTCGTCCTGACCAGCCGCAAACTGCTGCGAATCCTCGTGATGTCTGGCCTCCTCTGCGTCGACCCCCCGATCGTTGCCGATGGTGAAGGTGACGTGGCGGGAGGTGAAGGTCGGCGATCGTCCCGATGAGACGCACTTGAGGTACAGGAGTTCGAAAAGTTTCGACAGATCGGCGGAATTGAACGAGAGAAAGTTGAAATGAATAGTAGGAGATTCCTACGAGGCATCGAAGTTTCAGAACAAAGGACGAATGTGGTGGGGACAGGCAGGTAGCACCTGGAATTCGATCCACAAGTCTCCCTCGAAGTTGCGAGTCACCTGGGAGGGAAGAGAGAGATAAGGAAGAAGACGAGGGGGGGAGGGAGGGGGGGGGAGGGAAGCTCCAAAACTTGACAACTCACTCACCCTTGCTTCCTCCAGCCTTCCTCTTATCGTCGACCTTCGTCCATCCTGATGATATTCTGAACATCCGAGAGCAGCAGACAGCAGATCACTCGTACCTTGACAGCCTTCAAGTGCCAGGAGCTGAGGACTACCTGCAGGAGGCAGCATGAGAGAAGGAGGTTGACATTGGACGCTGTACCTGAGTTGATCCATCCTTTGAACTGAAAGACATCACCTCCTCATCAGCCATGCCCGTCTCATCCTCAAACTTGCATTCCTCAGTCTCGTTCCCGAGGACTTCACGACTCTCTTCTTCCGTCTTCTCCTCTGATGTCGTTTGATTCATGATCTCCTCCGGAGGAACCGAACTTTCCGAGTTTGACCTCTCGTTGCTGACATCTTCCTTACTGTCACCATCGCCACTGTCCTCGCTCTTCATCTCATTCTGAGAAGGAACATCGCGCCGTCCAGCTTCAGGTGAACTGTCAAAGTTCTCGACAGGGAGAGTGGGTTGTTGCGGTCGAGGAACATCTCCCACGTACGGCAACTTCTTCCTCGAGTCTGCCAACGTGTCATGATGGTTCTCATCGCATCCTCCACTCATCGCACTTCTTGAGTTCTCAACTGCGAGGTGAAGGGACTCGAAGAACTCTCGGAGCTGCCTTCCTCGTCATCCTCATCGCCTCTCCCCCTCAGCGTCACCTCCGCGATGGGATAGCGAACGGCCTCCAGCTCGATCGGCTCCCAGTCCCCTCGGATCTCCACGAGCAGTCCTCCTGTCGACGTGCTGGGGGCGAGTCAGTGTCGAGCCTCTGACGCTTCTCGTCGCGCCACCTCCTGACGTTCTTGATGTAGGGGAGAGGAGCGCGGAAGACCTGAGCTCTACCGCCCTGCTCGTCCGGCAGGGGCAGCCAGACATGAAGGATGTGCGACTCGGTCAGCGCCAGGATCTTGTACCTCGTGAGTGAGAGGAGGGGAGGAAAAGACAAGACTGACTTCGAGTTGGTCGATGGAGGAGAGTCGGACATAGGCGTCGCTCAACGCACTGCGAGGACGCAGCAAGAGCCAGTCTCAGCTCAAAATGAAACGAAATTCAACGACCTCGTTCCATCGTCCACCAACGCAAGAGTCGGCTGCTCTTCCTCTTTCTCCTCTCCTGGCTCTCTGCTCGCCGAAGACTCCCGCTCCTGCTCCTCTGCCTGCTTCTGCGACGCTTGTTGAGGGTTCCCATCCTCACTCCCTGGAGTCGATTCTCTACACGCCATGCTGTGCTTCTCCAGGCTCGCCATGAACCTCGAGAGTTCCTGCGGGAGCACGACCGTCACATGCTGCAGGAGGGCCCCAGCACGGGCGGCACCTCAATGTTGTAGTCTTGGACGGCAATGTTGAGGAATGAAAGTTGTTCGCTGCTGCCTCCTGTCTTGATCTTGAGGTATCGACCTCCTTCGCCTTCAGTTTGATGGTGAGCACACAAGTCGAGCGACGAGCATGTTCACCTGAGATCACTGACGACATCTCTTTGAGAGGAATTGTCATCGAAGAGAAACGAATCCGCTCGATGTCCGCAACTTCCACCACGAAGAGATGCGTCGAGTTGTGAGCAAGTCCCACGAAGGATCTTTGAACTGCTCGCAGCTATCACAGGGCGAAATCAAGGGGCTGAACTCACCGGTCATGGTGTAGGAGATCAAAGAAGTGTTTGTCATGTTCACTAGGAGATCTTTCACTGTCTTCTTGTCTCTTTCACTGTGGTAAAGCTCTCCATTCCTGGTGATTCCAAACATTCACCTCGCTGTATCAGCTTCAACGTCATACCATGCATAGTTTGCCTCGCGCTCCCTTGCTTGCTCTCTTGCTCGCTGGCTGGCTCGGTTGTTCATTTCACTTCGTTTTGAGCGCTTCTCCTGCTCTCTTCGCATGTGCTCTGATCGCTCTCGCATCAGATGCTCCTGCAATCACAAGCTCATGAGCAAGCAGACGCTGTTGGACTCCCTCGCACCTTCTTCTCGCGGCTCATTCTCTCCGTTCTCTCTCGCTCTGCTTGCCGATACTGTGATGATTGCCGGCTCGTCCAACTGTCGTCCCGAGCCTCGTCTCTGAGCAAGCGATGAGTTAGTCACAACAGCTGGAGCAGAGCAGGACCAGACCGAGTTCTTCGCGATCGCTCTCGCTTCAGGCGCTCCTCTCTTTCTCTCCGTGCCCGAGCTTCTCTCTCCTCCTGTCTTCCCCCCCTGTGACGTTGATCTCCTTTCTCTCGCGTCGGCGCTTTCTGCCGGCGGAGGGAGTCGGACAGGAGGGCCTCATACGCCTTGCTCAGCGCAATGAACTTCTCCGCCGCCCAGGCCTTCTTCTCCGGTGACTTATGCTTATCGGGATGAAGCTCGAGGCACTGCGGAAACATGGAAGATGAGGAAGGGAGAAGAAGAACGAGGAGGAGGAGGAAGAGGAGGAGGAGGAGGAGGAAGAGGAGGAGGAGGAGGAGGAGGAAAAGGAGGAGGAGGAGGAGGAGGAAAAGGAGGAGGAGGAGGAGGAGGGGGAGGAGGAGGAGGAGGAGGAGGAGGAGGAGGAGGAGGAGGAGGGGGTGGAGGAGGAGGAGATGCTTCACCTTCTTCCTGTAGGCTTTCTTTAGCAGGGAGGGCGGTGCGTCTGGCTCGACGCCCAAGAGTTGATGGGGAGGTTGACATCTGATCTCGCAGAGAAACAAGATCGACAGCACAAACAACAGGTGATGAGGAGAGCGTCTCTTGCCGCACATCATCATCACTGATGCTTCCAATACCAATCATGTCTTCAGCATCCGGTGACTCGCTCAGCTCTTCTATAATGTCTACCCTCTCACATGTTATCAACTGTACCCACCTCCTGCTCTGGTTTCTTCAACGCCTTGCTCCGAACCTCAGCGATGATGAAGATGGTGATGTGGAACGAAGACGAAGCACTGCTGCTGCTGCTGCTGCTGCTGCTGCTGCTGCTGCTGCTGCTGCTGCTGCTGCTGCTGCTGCTGCTGCTGCTGCTGCTGCTGCTGCTGCTGCTGCTCCTGCTGCTCCTGCTGCTCCTTCACGTCAGCTCTATGGTAAAATTTTCCTGGGTGGGGGTTGCAGATGTACTAGGCGGGGGGTTGCAGATGTAGCCTATTCAAGGGGGTAGGGGTACTCTTTTACAAAGTTTGCTGAAGTGGCGCGATGGTTGCGTAGCGTCCAGTTACGTCAGTCGACAGACCTCCTGCTTCTCCTCCCTCCTCCCTCCTCCCTCCTGCTCCTGCTCCTGCTCCTGCTCCTGCTCCTGCTCCTGCTCGTCTTTGAAGTCACTTAGGGAGCCTTGTTCTCCTTGATCGTGCTCAGTGGCCATGATGCAAGAAACAGCACCGCTGCTCCGAGCGAGTCCGAGGCGATCGCCAGCAAAGCTGGTAGCCATCGCTTCAGCCTCTGCATCCATCTTGATAGTGAGCAAGTGCATGTCGTGTGAACATATATGACCGACGGCTGTCTAATTAGGTTGCCTTGATTGCTGCTCATTACAGCGAGGGTCTCAAGACCTACCTCGTATCGCAGGATGGCACCCACGACTTGTCATGGATAGTATGACGCCTCTCGCATGTCGCTCTCTCCTCATCCTCCTTGCCCAGGAAATGCTCCCCAGAGAGATGTTGTCAGCAGTTGATCCCGCCATCGACCCCTGCAACGATTTCTACAGCTTTGCCTGCGGTTTGAACCTGCGAGCTGACGATGTTATGACTGAGCATGTGTGTTGACAGGGAAATGGGATGAGAAGGCTTCGATACCAGATGACAAGACATCATGGTTGAAGAGCTGGGACGTTCCTGCCCAACGGATCGAGAACGAGATGAGAAATGCAGTGGAGGCTGACTCCGGCGTTGTGGGCACCTACTATCGCAGCTGCATGAATGAAGATGCTATCAACAAGCTGGGGAACAAGCCTCTACAGCCCTGGCTCAAGAGGATCGACGAGGTGAAGGACATGAAGTCTCTCACGAACCTCCTGGTCTACCTCGGCAACCACAACAACGGCGCTTTCTTTGGGTGGTCGGTGACCGCCGACAGCCAGCACCCAGAAACACGTGCGTTCTACCTTTCTCCAGGGGGGATGACGCTGCCAGATCAGTCGTACTACCTATCAAATGACGAGGAGATGAAGGAGCACAGAGCTACGGAGAAGGAGGTCATCGAGCAGCTGCTCATCAACGCTGGTGTTGAGCCTGAGCAAGCCAAGATGGATGCTCTCAATTGCCTGGCGTTGGAGACAAGGACCGCTGAGAACGTGATGCCCAAGGAAGCAGCTCGCAAAGCCAAGGGCAAGAGGTTGACGAGGGAGCAGCTCAAGCTCCTCGTCCCCCTGTTTCATTGGGACGATTTCTTCCAAGGGATTGGCATGGCGGATGTTGGCCTTGAAGGGGGACCCCAGCTCATCATGAGGGATGACAAGTACTTCGAGAAGCTGGACTCTATCTTCACCGACCCGAATCCCAACTATTCTCAGCTCCCTCTGATGGTTAAGTCCAGCGAGCTGTATCGAACAGCCGGGTTGGAGTACAAACCGTCGGATGAGTCCTCGATCGACGAGAAGTTTGACGAGAATGATGCTGCTGTTCTCAGATCGTACTTGAAGTACACCATCGTCTCGACTTTCGCTCCTGTCCTTCCAGCAGAGAGCTTTGCAGAGGTTCTGAAACCGCTCTTCACGGATCTTTATGGAATCAAGAATCGACCAGAGAGGTGGAAGAAGGTACATCTATGATTGTGCAGGATATGATCTGAGTCTTTTCCGAACCCAGTGCTATCACTCAACGACTGGCGCGATGTCAGGCCACGTCTCCAAGTTGTATGTCGAGAAGTTCTTCCCCGAAGAAAACAAAATCGCTGCTCTCAACATGCTGGACAAGATCAGGCAGAGCTTCAAGGGAGATTTGGACCAGGTATCTTGGATGGATGAAGATACTCGAGTGAAAGCTGAAGGAAAGCTGGAGCAAATGGTCTTTGAGGTCGGCTATCCTAGTGACTGGCCTCACTGGTGCAAGCTAGAAGGGCTGTCTGAGGATGAATATTTCAACAACTACTTGAAGACCGAAGTCTGCCGGGTCGAGAAGTCGCGCCAGAAGTTGAGAGAGAAGGTGGATCGCAGGGAGTGGCACTATGCTGGAGCAACGGACGTGAACGCCTACTACAGTCAGAAGGTCAACGGTTTGTTCATCCCCGCGGCAGTCATCGACAAGCCGTTCTTCAGTGCCGAGTACGACGACGCGCGGAACTACGGCAGTCTTGGGGCCGTTCTAGGACATGAGATGACGCATGGCTTCGACGACCAGGGCAGGGAGTACGACGGGCAAGGCAGACGGCACGAGTGGTGGAACAAGGGGACAGTGGACGCGTTCAATGAGAGGGCAAGATGTATCAGCAAGCAGTACGGCTCCTACACGATGAACGGGAAGCCTGTCAACGGCGAGCTGACGCTAGGAGAGGACATCGCCGATGCTGGTGGACTCAAGATGGCTCACCGAGCTTGGGCGAGTTCAGGCACATCCACGCGCTCGACCCTCGAGCAGCGCATGTTCTTCCTTGCCTATGCGCAAACTTGGTGTGGGGTGGAGAGGAAGGAAGCTGAGAACACTCTGCTCTTCGACGCGCATGCCCCTCGCAAGTGGAGAGTTCTCGGCACATTGAGCGACTCCGAGGGCTTCGCCAAGGCTTACAACTGCCCTGCTGGCTCGATCATGAACCGTGGAGTAGAGCGCTGCACCCTATGGTGATATGCAGAGACTCTCGCTAGAGTTTGAAATCTCTTTACCGAGTTTGTTGTGATGAGCCGCAAGGTTGTGCCCTTATCTTCACACTACTCTCAGTGTGCAGCTGTGAGAGAGTTGACATCTGGTGGAGGGTCTCCGCTGTCTTGCAGCAGCTGCATCAAGTACAGCAGCTTGTTCACGTCGAAGGGCTCCTTCTCTAGCACTTCGCAGATCTTCTTCACGAGCCCGAACTGCCGCCGGTATCGATTCAGCTCGTCCTCAGGCAGGTTCTCTCCTCGCTCTGCCAGGAACTTGGTGTAGTACGACTCGCGCTGTCTGAGCGGAGTGAAGAGAGTCTCCTGCGACAGCATCGACTGCACGAGCCCGTTTGCCTGTGGCGACTGACCCGCCTGTTCTACTCCGGCATCTCGCCAGGTATCTCGCTTCGGGGTCGAGAGTACGTGCCCAGCCGGCTCTGTTCCCGCTCTTCCTCCTCCAGCTCCTCCTCCAGGTCTGCTGGGTTTCTCCTGCTCTGAGTTTGCATGCTGTCTTTCTGCCGAGCCAACTGCATCTCGGAGAGGAGCAAGGTCCGTCGAAACTTCGGCAGTTTCCTGTAAAGAGTGTGTCAAATGAGTTGACAAGAACCAGAGACAGACGAACGAACAGAAGAAGACAGACGAAAGAACAGAAGAGGCAAGCATGGCGCACACCTTCTCTTGTGTTGAGCTCTTGTAAAACCTATAGATAAGATAAGCTGAACCCACAGCTGCTGCGCCTGCTCCAAGGACGTTCAGCAGAGTACGCCTAATGTCAGTTGTCAGCATGTAACTACAAGCCGAACATCCATCACCATCTCTTTCGACTTGCATCGACGCTCATCAAGAACAATTTGACCGAGAAAGAGAGTCAGACGAAAGCTTCACCTGCAGTCTAATGGTTAGCAAAGCAACCAAGGACCTTCTCACTTTCCACCCGCATGGTATCCTCTGAAACTGTCCACTCTGCTCTACCACTATCATCTCTTCTCTCGAAATATCTGCTCTGCTTCTCTCTCTCCTTCCTCCTGCCCTCTCCCCCCTTCGGCATTCTTGGTTCGGCACACGTCAGCCATTTTCAAACACAAACTCTATTAGCTGATCAAGTTCTTTTCCAATATATGATTGGCGGCGAGGCCCGGGCGCCCGGCGGGCATTGCGGCAGTGCGGCTGCCGCCGCCGGGTCCCGCCGGGAGCCTCCGAACGGTCCGGCGGACAGTGAGAGTTCCGGGCCCGGCCTCGGAGTCCCCGCGGCGCCTTGACGGACTAGTGGACCGCGGGGCCGGGCCGTCTCGGCGTGTTCGGCGTGCCACGCCGTTGCCAGACACGCGGCGCTGCCGGGTCCGTGACGATTTTGACTTCAATTGACATGAACAGATCAAGTTACAAGCATTTGGTATTCATGATTGGTTACGCTTAAGTCTCCTGTCCGAGGCTGCCTCGCCGCTCGCCGGGGCTGGTGCCATGGCACCCATTCTTCAACTGAAACTTGAAAGTTGAGCGGCCGCACCGTCTGAGTCCGATCTCTTTCGGAAGTTCAAGCTCCTTACTAAGTTACCCGGTGCCACCGCCGTGGCATCCGATGATCTGACTCAGTGAGCCTGTGGCACGCACTGCGTGTGCCGTGAACGGCCCGGAGGGCCCGGGTCACCGGGCTGAGCACTCAGTAGCCTACCATGATGGTGCCATCCATCAGCGATATATCCGTCGGTACTCTAGGAGACCAAGAATCGTTGAACCGACAAAAGCCGGCCCGGCCCGGGCCCGGGGGCAAGTGGCCCTGATTCCGAAGTTGAATGGTCCGTCACTCCAAATGAAGCCGAAGGCTATCATAGCACGCCGCGCACCGCCATGCACCGGTTCAACGTTGCCGCTCGGCCAAGCAACGCTCTCAGTAGCCTCTGATCGGACCGTCGTAACCCGGCCTCTTATGTGGACGAAGTCTGACAGCTACCAAACCAGCACTCATCGTCAGAGCAACTCCCCACAAGCGGCCTCGTCTCCGTGACTCCCTCCCGGCAGCTGCCCCACCTGCAACGTTGGTGATACCGGCAGTATCGCATCTGAGTTGAAGCCCACAAGCCGTGGAGGAGCCCCTCTCCAGTACGTGTCCTTCAGGCTCCTCCCCTCCAAGTGCTCGATCACCTCCTTGTACATCTCCTCGTGCTGCCTCCAGGCTCCTCCCCTCTTTCCTTCTCCCGTCGCACTCTGAGCCTGTGCCTCCCTCCTTTTGACGGGCTCGTTGCTCGCCTCGTGGCGGCGACTCGTACTGATAGCTGGCAACCTCCTCGACCAAGCTCCCCCCGCTGATCCCGCACTCGGTTCCCCGCCCTGCTCTGCCGGCTGCTCCGTGTGCATGGCGAGTAGCTCTTCCTCGTCGTCTTCCCAGGCTAACTCCTCCTCGTTGACCCTGACCCGGATGACCACGCCGTCGATCACCACTTCGTCTACCGCCTCGTCCTCCTCGTTCGCTCCTCCGCTCTCCACCCCCCCTCTATCGCCTCGCACACCCTGTGCCGCCTGATGCTGGTCGGTCCTGAGAGGGCTGTCGGTCAGCGTCGGCGGCGTCCCGCTCCCGAACGCCCGCGGGCACAGCTCCTTGTACAGCTCCATGTCGCTCCCGCTGTTCCACACGTACCCGACCGTGTAGGGCTGGTTCGCGTCCTGCTTGGACCTGGCGTGAGGCCATCGGGTCACCCCGAGCTGCTTGCACACCGTCTTGAGGGTGGTGAGAGAGATGCCAAGGAAGTCCGCAGCGTCGGTCTGGCGCATGTGGAAGAGGCCTGAGATCTTGTTGATGTCGAAGGTGAGGGGCTTCCTGTTGCGCTGAGCGGGGCCTTGACCTCGGCGGGGGAAGACATGGGCGACCTTAGGCGCAAGCATGGGAGGTGTGATACGACAGGTGGGAGAGGGCCTAGAGCATTATGATAGGATGGTGCTGTGATAAGCAATGTTGACGTTATTCTGATTCAAATATCACCTGGTTCTGGGTTCACTCTTGAGGCAGTTGTCTTCTTCTCGGTCCTGCTAGGACACTGACCGTCATGGTGATAGCATGGGCAAGTGGGATGGAGGCATTGCATGCGGAGCTAAAAATTGAAGTTGATTGGTGATAAACAAATTCACCTTATGAAGACATACTAGAATCTGATTTGTTCTCAAAATGTGAACCTTGCCCCATGTGCTTGCAGTTTGACTATAATTAATACACTATATGATACACCTTTATCAGCTACAACGTTTAGGCATATATAAACTTATGAGAGTTGTATTCTTATTCCACGATTATAGAGAAAAGATATCTCACTTTCCTTTTGACTTGAGGTCTGCATTGCTTTGAACATGCACGCACAACTTTGTGATTCAGGACTACCAAGTTAAAAGCGTACTCATTTGAATGAAGGCAATGCGAAATGCAAGGAACAGAAAGCAAGCATAAAGCGATGAGACAGAGGGCATCGATCATTGTGGCAGCTGGAGGGAAGGGAGGGAGGGAGGGAGCGGGGAGGAATCGGGTATGGTTTGATGCGACGTGGTCGGTATCGTGGTAGGGACAAACACGGCAGGGGAAATTGGACCGCCGAGGACGTGCGGAGGACGTTGGATGGGGGTGGGTCTGCCCTACATGTACAAACACCCCTCATGTTTACATGTTTCTGATGGGAAAAGAGGGGTGGAGGGGTCATTTGACTGCCTCTCAGGTTGAGTGGGATAGGGTTCGACTGGCTGGCTCTCTTAACTCGAGCATGAAAAGAACTCTTTTCGACTCAGAATTAGGACCCGATGTGATGACAATTACACTTTTAATCTATAATGAGTACTATAAAAAACAGTCGAGAGTTAAGCCGAGTGACAGAAATGGCGGCGCAACAAGAGAGAAACAAGAAAGGAAAAACGAGAGGGGGAGGCAGGGCGATGATTGAAAAGAGATGACAAACCAGATATTTCGAAATGTTTTACGATGATGTTAGTTGAAAGCAAAAAGGAAACCACATCTCAACAGCATTAGGGCGGGGGAAAAACACAAACAACACCGAAAACAAAGAGAAGCACATCGCAATATTAAAGTTGCAAGAAAAACAAGAGATGTGTAAAAATTCAAAGACTGTGCAAAGCAACTAAATATTTAGCGACTCTCAACAATCGAGCATAAATGATGCTGGTCTCATAAGCAGCAATATGGCCAAAAAAAACAGATTGAAGATAAAATTGAAGAAAACAGACGAATAAATTACAACATTGCTGACGAAGCGAACGAAACAGAGATACACCAAAGCAGCAAAGAACTTTGGTCACATCCCAACCTGCGAGAATGCCCATACGATACATAGTAGATAACAAAAAATATTTCACAAAAGCACAGGGATGAGAAATATTGAGAGCTTTTGAACGTACATCCTAAACGAATCCAACATGATCAACTGCTGTAGAATCTGATACTGTACGATGATGTAAATATACCAAAAATAGGCAACCCAACCCAAACCCTGACCAACAAACCTTCCAATTCTGACTCGCTACTAAGGCCTACAGAAATCTGGAACCCAGTAACCCTTGAGGGCACTTGCAACAAGCGGCCTCGTCTCCGTGACTCCCTCCCGGCAGCTGCCCCACCTGCAACGTTGGTGATACCGGCAGTATCGCATCTGAGTTGAAGCCCACAAGCCGTGGAGGAGCCCCTCTCCAGTACGTGTCCTTCAGGCTCCTCCCCTCCAAGTGCTCGATCACCTCCTTGTACATCTCCTCGTGCTGCCTCCAGGCTCCTCCCCTCTTTCCTTCTCCCGTCGCACTCTGAGCCTGTGCCTCCCTCCTTTTGACGGGCTCGTTGCTCGCCTCGTGGCGGCGACTCGTACTGATAGCTGGCAACCTCCTCGACCAAGCTCCCCCCGCTGATCCCGCACTCGGTTCCCCGCCCTGCTCTGCCGGCTGCTCCGTGTGCATGGCGAGTAGCTCTTCCTCGTCGTCTTCCCAGGCTAACTCCTCCTCGTTGACCCTGACCCGGATGACCACGCCGTCGATCACCACTTCGTCTACCGCCTCGTCCTCCTCGTTCGCTCCTCCGCTCTCCACCCCCCCTCTATCGCCTCGCACACCCTGTGCCGCCTGATGCTGGTCGGTCCTGAGAGGGCTGTCGGTCAGCGTCGGCGGCGTCCCGCTCCCGAACGCCCGCGGGCACAGCTCCTTGTACAGCTCCATGTCGCTCCCGCTGTTCCACACGTACCCGACCGTGTAGGGCTGGTTCGCGTCCTGCTTGGACCTGGCGTGAGGCCATCGGGTCACCCCGAGCTGCTTGCACACCGTCTTGAGGGTGGTGAGAGAGATGCCAAGGAAGTCCGCAGCGTCGGTCTGGCGCATGTGGAAGAGGCCTGAGATCTTGTTGATGTCGAAGGTGAGGGGCTTCCTGTTGCGCTGAGCGGGGCCTTGACCTCGGCGGGGGAAGACATGGGCGACCTTAGGCGCAAGCATGGGAGGTGTGATACGACAGGTGGGAGAGGGCCTAGAGCATTACACATGCAATTAACACCCCTCGTGGACCACTTGCTGTTCAAACCACGTAACAATCGTATTTCGGCTGTCCAATGTGTAGAGGATAGGAAACAGCAAATGATGTAAAGTACCTTCAGGTGTGATCCCTCGAATTCTTGGGACGACAATACATCACAAGATCTTCTCAGTATGTTCGTTTCACTTGATTCATTGGATCATATTTGCAAACAAATTGGTTGCCTAGAGAGTCAATGTGGTTAGAATTGCATGAAAATGTTTGGAGACTGCGTAATGATGTCAGATGTCACATCACGCATTGCAAAGATATACCAACATAAAAAAAAGTGACGGGTACATAGTGAACACTGCAGGCTGAGCCCATGGAATTGAAGATCACGCGCAGACAACAGACAACGCTGAGGGACTACCGAATCAACCATCAGGAGTCAACTGACAGCATTCTCATCAAGTAGGTCAGCAGGCACGAGGATGGTCATGATGTCAAGAAAGGGAGTCATCCGTGCATAACAGCAGCAAGCAGCTGCATGCGACAAATGCTGTGCTGCAGAGGGCCAGACGGGACAAATCAAAAAGAAAGTTGGGGGAGTGAAACATGAGAGTACCTACCGATTCATGATGTTTTAGGCTGAAATTAGGGGGTGGGGTATGTCGGATATCATGTCCCCACTCCTTGACCCGGTGACCGGCTTATACCAGGCTCCGTCGAAAGTCACGGGACCCTCTCGATGACAGTCACGTTAATTTCTGATACAGTCACGTTACTGCCACGTTCCAAACAAGCGCGGGTTTACAACACGGGTTGACGTGTTTTAAAACACTAATAGACAAGTAGACTCTGTTGTAAAGACTTGCAACTAGCAATAGTTGAAAAACTAGTGCCCCTGGCACTGAGGGCCCCGGCCGGGCCCGGCCGGGGCCCTCAGTGCCGCCGGCAGATGGGCGGGAGGACCAGCGGCTTGTGGTCAGTTGAAGAGGAAGGAAGGACAGGATGGCGAGGAGGAGGTTGGAGAGGCGGTTGAGAGCAAGTCTGCATCTGAGATGCTTCTAGCTCGCATCAGGCCTCGGCTTGCTATGAGGAGCACCCGAGCTCTGCTGCCCCTCCTCCTCCTCCTCCTCCTCCTCGTATACGAGTCAACCTGCATTTCTCACGACCACAAGGTCCCGCCCACCCCAACGCCAGTCAAGACAGGATGGGCAGCAAGAAGAGCCCGCAGTGACGACAGCAGCAGCCCGGGCTTTCGAGCCCCATCAGAAACTTCGTCGAGTGAGCTCGGGAGCTCGTCACGAGGGGACCAAGGAGAAGAGAGCGAAGCCAAGGCCGAGGGCGATCGGCCGCATGTGTCCTGGCAGCAGGAGCACAGCTTCAGCTCCCCCCTCCGTCAGTTTCGACCTTCTGACTTTCTCAAAAGCCGCTCAGGGAACGAGCGCGAGGAGAGAGTGAATGAGTTTGCTGTCAGCCCTGCGAGTCCTATCAAGGTGGTGGAGACTAGTTTCTGTGAGCTACCAGGCGCTGAAGCAGATGTCAGGGTCTGCCTAAAGGATCCGCTGGAGTAGCAAGAATGTCGAGGCACCTCACTCATCATACATCCTTTTGGCAGGTATGATTCAGACAGGCCCATCCTAGCTGCGCCGGTTGATCATTGCCCGTAGGATTTCATCAACATCCAAGAACTGGGTCAGGGAGAACACGGGAAGGTGTACAAGTGTGTGAGGAAGATGGATCTCTGGCCGTATGCTGTCAAGGTCTTAAACAAGATGTGCAGTGGAAGGAAGGACAGGGAACGGGTGCTGCAGGTGTGGGGGGCTCATCCTTGCGTTGCTAGACTGCTGTTCTGTCGTCTCAATCAATCTCTCTTCCTTGTCCTTCCCTTGCCTTCTCCTCCTGCCTGCCTGCCTGCCTGCCTGCCTGCCTGCCTGCCTGCCTGCCTGCCTCTGCTGCTGCTTCTCTCATGCGCTCTGCTCGGCTAGGAGATCTACGCACTTTCATCGCAAGGGGACAATCCCTTCGCTCTCCGCTACTACAACGCGTGGGAGGAGCAAGACGTCATCTACATCCAGACAGAGCTCTGCCTGAAAACTCTACACGACGAGTGGGTGGGAGAAGGAGGGCAACTTCCCTTTCAGCGACTGGCGACGGCTCTCTACCAGGCAGCGTCAGGGCTCGCGTACCTCCACGAGCATGGTGCTGCTTCGGTAGGAGGAGCAATACGCTGATGCATGCTTGTAGGGATGGCGCATCTGGACATGAAGCCGGCTAACCTTTACCTCTCCTTGTCCGGCAGGATCAAGATCGGAGACTTTGGGCATGTCAAGGTGGTAGAGCCTGACAGGATGGCGAGCAGGCAGGAGGTTGAGCTCTTGGAGCTGGGAGATCGGAGGTACGTAGCGCCAGAGCTTCTCGACGTCTCCTCTCCGGTCAATTTGAATAAGTGCGACGTGTTCTCGCTTGGAGCCTCCATCTACGAGCTTGCATGCGTCAGCAGACTGCCGGTAAGGGAGCCACGGGAAGGAGGGGCACGGAGAGGAAGAGGAAAGAGGAGGAGGAGGAGGAGGAGGGAAGGAGGAGAGTAGAGAGGACGACGAAGGGGAGAAGAGGGTTGCAATGAGGGCGTGGGGATGACGAGGGTCGCAGGAGTCTGGGAGTGAGTTCACAGACGTAAGGAGAGGATCTCTTGCTCATTCTCACCAGCTTCCGCCTGACCTGCGCGAGTTAGTGGAGAGCATGATGGACCCTGACCCGGCCCGACGCCCTTCCGCACAGCAAGTGGTCAACTTGTCCCGACCCCTCCTGCAAGACGACCAGCATGCAGCGGACCGCCTCCTTCCTCGTGCTCCCAGCGCCCTGGACGCAGCGTTGAGAAACATGCTGCTGGAGTCACGAGCGAAGCTTGCGCGGGCAGAAGAGAAGATTGCTTTCATGCAGAAACAGATGAGAAGATGAGGCGTTGAAGTGACAGGACAAGGCAGGAAGACATCCAGCACGTTTGTCCTCTTGCTTGTGAATTAATGTAGATAGCACGTGAGCGACATGTAGTTCAATAAATTGACTTGAATCCTCATCGTTGATTCCTTCCTCGCTCTCTCTCTTCATTTTCCCCTCTTCCCTCTTCCTCTCTCGTTGCCTTTGCGTTGACCTTCTCCTTCCCCCCGTGGACCTCGTCCCCCTTGTCCTCCGCCTCTTCCTCCCTCACCACCACCACCACCACCTCCTCCTCCTCCTCCCCTTCCCCTACCCCTACCCCTTCCCCTTCCGCCTCCATTTCTCTGCAGCTTGAGTCAGCAACAGCGATCGCTCTGGGAGTTGCTCACCCCTCCTCTTCCTCCCTTCTCTCCGTTAGCAGCTTCAGTGCTGCCTTCCTTGCTCTCCTCTTGCGCCGACATGTCAACGTTGGGCAGGCCGTCCTCTGACACGTCACGTTACGAGAGGAGCGCCAGCAGCAGCAGCATCACCTTTCTTGCTCTCACTTGCCGCGACCTCCTCCCCCTCCTTCTCTTGCCCGTTGCTGTCAAGTTTTCAGTCGCGCCAACATGCACTGCTGCTCTCCTGACCTCTTCACCTCCTCACTCACGTCCTGTACGTTGACCTGGTGAATCCAGAGGGATCAGAACAAGTTGCAGGAGAAGGGAGGGAGGGAGGGAGGGAGGGAGGGAGGGAGGGAGGGAGGGAGGGAGGGAGGGAGGGAGGGAGGGAGGGAGGGAGGGAGGGAGGGAGGGAGGGAGGGAGGGAGGGAGGGAGGGAGGGAGGGAGGGAGGGAAA